TGCAGTTATTACTAATTTTAAAATTTTTATTTACTTACATATTTGCAGTACTGGATATGGAACCCAGAAAGTGCTGAGCTATATCCTCAGCTCCTTTTTAAATGTCATCATGAGAAAGGAGCTTGCTTGCTAAGTTACTCAGGCTGGTCTTGGATTCTCCTGCCTCAGCCTCCTAAGTAGCGGGAATTTCACACGTGTCTAGCTAGTTATTACCGAATTTTAAAGTGGGATTATAGGCTATTGACAGTGAGTGAAGTAAGGAGTTAGAATATTTGTAAATGTAAGAATTGTTAAGGTTTAGAATGAGAATTCTAAGGACAGACTCTCAACATGGGACCTTATCAGATCTGGGGCTCAGCTGTTACAGTCTATAGCCTTAGACTAGAACCTTACTTGTCTTGAAATTGTCCTCTGCCCTGAATCTTCTCAGGACCTCATGTTCCTTGATTGGCATAAAGTGCTGCCTGTGACCTCTATTTAGGGTACTTAGGTAGGAGAGAGGTCATGTCACGGTTGCAACCCTGAGCATCCCTTGTGCAGTGCATTTGCTTACTTTTTAAATGTAGAACACTGTATCTGCCTTTGTTTGTTTCTGGTGAAATCTAATAATAAGTTCTGGTTATTTTCTTTTACTAATTCATGTTTATTTGTGAAAAATAACCTATAATTTTGTGGTATAATATATAAAACCCTTATTGTAAGTACATTAGATATACTTTTTCTACTTCTCCAGAACTCAGTGATATTTTTTTACAATACAAAACAGACACGTTTAGGACACTGAGACTGAATAGGAGGGAAATGTCAAATGATTTTTGCAAAAGAAAAAGCTGAAAAAGGGAGAAGTGTTAGCATATCAGAGAAGAAAAGTCTGTGTTATGAAATGCAAAGATAGAAAAGACTTCTCCTTATTGTCAACTATTTATAATACAAAAATAAAACTTGAAAGAAGAAACCAAACTTTAAAAATTCCAGTATTAGTCAGTGATTATAATAATTCTATGGGTAGTGTTGATAGGTTGACCACATCTAACAAGCTATCCTGTAATCAAAAAGTGAGGGAAAAATACCATAAAATATTTATGCACCTTCTGGACCAAACAATATGAAACTCATTCATTATTTATTAAAAAAACATTTATTCAAAAACAGAGGGTTCAAAAAGCCATTTACAATTTAGGTCTAATAGACCAACTAATTGAAAAATACAGGATAGGGAAATGCTAACCAGGGCGTCCGTCATTGACATCTTCACCATTACATTTAGTAGGTAGACATTTTATAGAAATTATACCACCCACAGAAAAAAGGGAAAGGCCAACATGACAGTGTTAAAGTGTGTTGTTCAAAGAAGGACAATAATTCAAAAAGAATTTGGAAAGAGACTAGATACTACTGTCCAGATTGTAACATTGCTTTGTATATTGAGTATTTTATGATGTACCATACAAAGAAAAATTACTGAATAAATTTGAAAAACTCGTTTTGATATTTCCTGTTACCTTATGCAAATTAATGAAAAATATGAAATTTTTGGTCATAATTGGACTGGTGAGTGGTTAAGAAATACAGAACAGGGCCGGGGATTTAGCTCAGTGGTTTCACTGCCTGCTGTGCAAGCGCAAGGACCCGAGTTCGATCCCCGGTACCAAAAAAACCCCCCAGCAAAACAAAACAAAAAAAGAAATACAGAACATTTACTTCTTTGTCCTCATTTTTGCCAATTTTAATTTAGCAACCTCCTTTATTCCAGTGCATAGGAATAAAAGAGGTGATTATTACCTTAGTTTCTTTCAGATTGTTAAGCAATAAATTGGTTTGGTTTTCTTTAGAGATTTGTCATAAAGATAAATCTATTGGCCTTTATGGACTTTGACCTTGTGAAGCCCCTGTAGCTACTTTCTCAGTGTACTGATCTTTTATGTCCTAGTTCACCTGCTGTTGGCAACTCTAGTGCTTCCACCCTATCAGTGAATATGCTTCTCTCCCTTGATAAGATTTGCCCCTGCCCTCTCTTGTGATGCTAAGCTCTCTCACTCATTTTCTCATTTCTCTTGGTTCATACTTAGTAGGGAAGGGAGCTGATTGTGTTGTGCAGCCATCATCCAGATGGGCAGTGCTCTCCTGAGCCACCTCTTTTAGATCTTTGCTGGTCTTTAGGTCCAAGTTGTGGCTTGTATCTGGATGCATCCCTAAAACTTCATTTGGTCATAGTGGGGCTTTTCATAAGTACCCAGAGCTAGGGTTTGTGCTGCTGAAATCAAAGATATGATGCTGGGATTGATTCATGTTGTGATGCTAGGATTAAGGGTTGAGTGCTACCTGCCCTAAGATACAAGGGACAGAAAGAGTTGTGGTTTTAGCTTGTCTTTTGCTTGCTTTTGCTGCCTTCTGCCTGCCATGAATTGTTTCTCTGTGATGCCTCTCTGCCATGCCTCTCTGCCTTAGGGCCAGCCCACTGTGAACTGAAACCTCTGCAAACTGTGAGCTAAATAAACTTTTCCTCCTTTAACTTTTGGTGTCGAGTATTTTGTCTCAGCAACGAGAAAGGAACCAAGACAGTCCAGCACTGGTCCCTAGCCAGAGTCATTTTCAGCTAGTTTTGGTGTGTTATCTGAATGATAGTGATGATCATACTGAGAGGACTTCTTAGAAGGGACCTTGGTGGCCTTGGTAAGATTCTCAGAGCATCATATTTTATCCTGTTCATGGGACACCAAGAGCTTTCAGACTGAAGGAGTAGAAAGTGCTTATTTGTGTGGGATGTATTTCTAGTCTCCAAACCGAGACTATATAAAATAGGGTATCCAAAACAAAGTAAAATTATCTTCATTTGTCCTGGTGCTATAGCTTTTCTTAAAAGTAAAATGTCATAGAAACTATTAGCAACTGAGGTACATTTGTGTTTTCCACCTTTCCATTCAATTCAAGGCTTTTACTAAAATGATAGTGATACCTTACATTAAAAAATGGATGACAGTGTATTTTGGCAGGGATACAAGGAGCTGGATCATTCCGTAAGTGAAAGGAAAACAGTGGACTGCTGTGGCCAGCAGCCTACTAAGTGTAAGGAGAAGGTGGCTGAGAGTACCAGGTCTTATGTATGTTTACTTTGGCCGGCCCAATAAGCCAGCACCTGGAGGCCTCAGTCAGAGTCTTTGTGCGAAGGCCTTCTTTGGGGATGACAGCTTTCTGAAGAGACAAGTAGCTGAAAGCAGATGGTCAGTAGCTACGTGATTTTCTCTCCAAGACTGAGAAGTTTGAGACCATGTAGGTCTCTTGATTTTTCCTCAATAGTACAAACTCAGCTTCATGATAGTCACATATTACTCTTTCTCATTTCACCAAAGACTGGTGAAGACTTCTGTATGGACCAGAAGCTCTGGGAGAGATAAAAGCAAAGGAGTGTCCAGACCTTAACTGGCTGATAACTGCCTAGAGGAGGTTGATGCCTACTGGAGGTTCTAGGCCATGCCACGAGTTTGGCCAGGTGCTATACACTGAGTACCTTGGCAGAACTTGGTGTCTGGAGGGAAGGTGAGAGCCCTGGTGAGAAGTGACAGGAAGTCAGGCTGAAAGGGAAAGTAGTCAACTGCTGCATATTTCAGTTTGTTTTGGAATATAATACTTCTCCATCCTCTGTGGTCATTGACTATCACCTGTGTAAAAAAAGGAAAACTAACCCAAGGCTGGGAGTTTTTGCTGTTTAGAAATGCAACACCTCTGATTTGGCTTTTCTTTTTCCCTTCAGGCTGTTTGGTAGGGACAGTGAATCTCAAATCCAGCAACCGGAACCCAGTGGTACTGGAGTTTGAAAGTAAGTACCAGACGCTGTGAGATCGGGCACCCTCTAGTGGACATGTGGTAGTCTTGCAGCCAACTCAGGACACTCCTGGGCAGCTATCCCAGCAGTGTACCTGTCAAAGGCGTGCATCATCACTGCAATGAGGCATTCTGTGTGGGTTTCACATCACCTGACACCTGTTTACTGCTTGACTTTGTGCTTAAACAACAAATCAGGGTATACGGTGAAATCCTAACAACGTGGGTAGTTTTTTTTCTGGCAAAACCTCCTATTTTCTCAGAGACTCAGAGCCTGGAGATACCTGGTTGGTAACTGCCTGAAAGGCCTAGCTTACACTAGGGATGGGTTGAGGGGTCTGGGCCTACATGTGCGCCTGGAAGTGTTCTGCAGTCACAGAGTGCTCTCTTTCCCTTTGCTCATTAGGTGTGGAATTGTCTTGTATCATTATGGATTCACAGACCAGTGACCCCAGGATCGAGTGGAAGAAAATCCAGGATGACCAGACCTCATATGTGTTTTTCGAAAACAAAATTCAAGGTATGACCCATGGCCCTCTGTGCCTGCTAACCTCCCTCCCATCCATGGACCTGGACATGCACTAATAGCCAGAAACCTTCCCAGACTGCTGACTGTATCTGTAGCCAGAACTGTGTTTAAAATTTGCTGTTATGAAGCTGGGTGTGGTGGTGCATGCCTATGGTCCCAGCACTGGGGAGGCTGAGGCAGGAGGATCGCTGTGTGTTCAAGACCAGCCTCGGCTACATAGTGAGTTCAAGGCCAGCCTGAACTATATAGCAAGACCCTATCTAAAAACAAATGAAAGTTTGCTATTATAGAAAATTTCAAACATATGCAAAAGTAGAACAGATATTGAGCTTCTCTGTACCTGTCACCCAGCTTCAACAAATATTAGTTAGAACCTTTCTCTATGTACAATCCATTTTTAAAATTAAATTTTAAAAATTAAAGCATTTTTAGTACAAGTATTTGGTGAAATAAGGATTCCTTACAGAATTTTAGTTTCATGTTTCTGGCATAAAATGTCATGAGCTCTTCGGGGCACATCATGGTCCTAGATGAATCTGACACATAGAAGGAGCTTTACAATGAGATATTCTTTCCTTTTTCCCTCTTTCTTGTTATTTGTTGCTATGTTTTATTAATTTTTTCCTTTAAAAAATTTTTATTAGTCCGTGTTTGCATTACATAATGATTACACTTATTGTGAGGAATTGGTACAGAACACATCCCAATTCTTTTTTTCCCTTCCCCTCCACCCCCATTTCTAAAATATTCTTTACCAACATCAGCTTTATTTATCTTGTAAGTCTTTATCAAGTTAATCACCATCAACACAGATTAACAGTCAGAGTAACAGGCCAAAAAACATATAAAACACATACGATAATTACACTAAATCAGGCTACACTTATCAATGTATGCATGGTCCATTTCTAAGGAATAAGAGTGAGCGTTCTCAGCTCTCTTCTTGTCATGACCTGGGATGGGAGTGATACAGGTGAGGTCGTCAGAAGGATACACCATGGCACAGAGGCCAGGAGGTGTCGTGGAGAACCCCATCAGGTCCCAGGTGAGGGCTGGGTGTACACTCTGCAGGAAGGCGCTGCTGGACAGGTTAGCAGACCTCATCCTGGGCCACACCTGGTTGCCAGGGGACACGGCATGAAGCAGGCAGGATGTGGTCTGGGTGCAGAATGGCCAGGTCACTGGGCAGCATGGGGCGATGTGGAGAAAGCTGTCAGGACAGAAAAGAAGCTGTGCTTGAAGACAGAAGCCAGAGAGCTCAGCTGAAGGGAGGAATGCAGGGTCCTCGCTGCTGCCAGGGCCTGGGCAGGGAGAGAGATGTGGAGGAGGAGAGGAAGCTGGGCTGGTGCCCTGAGTGCAGGTGACTTGGGTGGTAGGCAGTGCCTGAGGGGCCAGCACAGGTTCTGGGGAGGTGATACGGTCACATTTGTGCTTTAGACTAGAACACTGAGGTGGCTGTTCTACCTCTGGATAGTGGAGATGGACAAAGCTTGGAGGAGGGCCATCCTGTCAGAGATGCGCGGAACCTAGAAGGAGCTGCTAGTGGCCTGAGCTGAGCTTGAAGGCAGTGGGCATTCAGGGGAAATCGCTGGACCTGGCTGTGCAGAGGGAGGCAAGGGAAGGGCGAGAGAGGGCCCGCAGAACAGGGACTGCCTTCAAACAAGCGGGAAGGAATAAGCAGCAGCTGCCGGGGCAGGCACCTTCCGAGTTCTCGGAAACTGAAAGCTGAATATCATCAGCAGACACAGGCTCTTCAGAATAGTTTCCCCACTAACTGAGGCTCTCTTCCAAGCCTTATTTTTGAAGAGATGGACATGTTATTCTCAGAAACATAAATATTTTCTTCAGTCACATAGGCTGCCCCTGCTAAGCATACGGTTTAGGTCATAAGAGCAACCAAGTAAAAATTCTTTGAAGAACTTTCTGGGAATTACATGTTTTCTCTCAGCCATATTGATGGGGAATAAAAAGGAGGATTTTCTGCACAGGACATAAGGGTTGGGAATATGTGCATCTACTTGGCCTTTTCTTGTGCTTTGCAGGATTGTACTAAAAGCACCTTTTAAAATACACATTTCAGTGGTTGTTAGTGCACATAGTTGTGTAACCAACACCACAGTCAAATTCCACATTTCATCAGGTGTAACAGAACCCCACATCTGTTAGCAGCCCACTCCCTGCCCCCAACAGCCCTTCATCTGTGTCTGTCTCTGTTGATTTGGCTGTCCTTGACACTTCCTGTAAAGGAATCTGTCTTTTCTGTCTGCAATCTTTCACTTAGCATAGTATTTTCAAGATTCATTCATGTTGTAGCAGGTGTTATGACCTCCTTTTTTTATGACTGATATTTCATTGTAGGCATACCATGTTTATCACTTAATTGGTTAATAATGTATATTTGGGTTGGTTGTATTTTGTGGCTATTATTGATAATGCTGCTGTGAACATTCTTTCATGAACATGTTTTCATTTCTGTGAGGTAAAGGACCAAGTGTGCATCGGGTCACGTGACAGTGGCATATTTAGTTTTCGAGAAACTGACCAACTGTTTCCCAAAGTTATTTCAGCATCTTACATTCCCATTGGCAATGGATTCCCCTGCATCCTTACCAATGCTCACTGTCTGACTTTGTGATGTACCTGTCTTAGAGGGTAGAAAGTAGTATAGTATTTCAAGGTATTTCTGATTTCCATTTCCCTGATGACAGATATGTCGAGCATCTTTTTCATGTGCATATTGAGCATTTGTACATTTCTTTGGAGCAATGTCTATTCAAATCTTAATTTTTAATTTGGTTATTTTTCTATTTGTTATTTAGTTGTAAATTCTTTATATATTCTACATAGTAGTCCTTCATCAGATACATGATTTGCAGATATTGTGTCCTATTCTGTAGACTTTTTGTGTCCTTTGAAAGAAAGATATTTTTAATTTTGATGACGTCCAGTATAACTTGTGTTTTTGGTCTCATGAAGATTTAAGCCCATAATTTGAGCTTTAACTCTTTTATCTGGACATTAGGTTTTCATTGCCTGTCGAGGGAGAAGTTCAGCTTCTTTGCTTTGCATACCTAGTTGTCCCAGCATTCTTTTTGAGAAGTCACTTTTCAACACTGATTTTCTTTTTCTTTTAATGAGGTATCCCTTTGGGGATGATGAGGAGATGAGCTTTCTGGCTTAAGTCACATAAAATGAATGCCTCTTAACACGCCAGCTTCGGCTTTTGGTGCTCATATTAGTCATGACTCCTGTCCCCGGGGAGCTCATTCCATTACATGGAGAAACAGAAATCCATCAGCTTACTGGGGTATTGATTCTGGCCCCAGAAACCACCTTTTCCAAGTGGCAAAGATGTCTCTGTAGTGTTTTAGCGTTTGTGTCTTCTTTTCCACAGGGGACCTGGCAGGCCGTGCAGAAATACTGGGGAAATCCTCCCTAAAGATCTGGAATGTGACACGCTCAGATGCAGCCCTCTATCGATGTGAGGTGGTTGCTCGAAATGACCGCAAAGAAATTGATGAGATTGCCATTGAGCTAATTGTGCAAGGTAGGAACTCCTGGTACAGCATTTCTGCCCATCAGGCCTCATACTGTGCTGAGAATAAGAGATCAGTTTGTATTTTGATTTCTTTTCCATGCAGACCTCACTCCTGAGGGTGTCTTGTAGCTTAGGGAAGGGAGCTAATAAGGCTGAGACTGCCTGAGTTGGTGGAAGGTGGCTGGGAAGTGAAGCTTCTGCACTTTTCCAAAGATGCTCCAGTATCCTTAGTGTCCTCTCCCTCCAGAAGGTGGAAGGAATTGGGAATTCAGGTGTGATGGGGCTGGGCATGGAGTGCCGAGGACAGCATGCAGTGGCAGCAGGTCATCTGGGAGGCGGCAGCAGTACAGGATCACTTGGCTGGCTTCCTTGTTTGTGTATCTCATTTATTCAAGTGGGCTTTGATAATAGTGGAGCTGTGTTGCTGAGATTTAAAACACCAACCCGTGTTTTTCCTGCAGTGAAGCCAGTAACCCCTGTCTGCAGAGTTCCAAAGGCTGTCCCTGCAGGCAAGATGGCGACACTGCAGTGCCAGGAGAGCGAGGGCCACCCTCGGCCTCACTACAGCTGGTACCGCAATGATGTGCCACTGCCGACAGACTCCAGAGCCAACCCCAGATTCCGAAATTCCTCTTTTCTCTTAAACTCTGAAACAGGCACTCTGGTAAGATCTCTTCTAAGAGGTAAAGATGGAGATGTCTTCGTTGGAGCAAGTGATGTTTTTTGTAGAAAGAATGGTTATTAAGAGAGGCTGTAAAGACTACATTATAAGATAGGAATTCAATATCCAGAATGTTAGAGATTCTACAGGAAAAATGGCTCTCCCTTCATTATAAACAAGTCCAAGGGGTAAAAGAAAGGAAACCTACAGATTGAAGAGAGACCAAGGAAGGCTACCCGACAAATGTTATGGGTGGACTTTATTCGAGTCCTGCTTGATTTGGCTCACCAGCTACATAAACCATTATGAGACACCGGGGACTTGATTACTGGCTGGGTGCTTGATGAAATTAATGGTTAATTGCTTTAGGCCCGATAGTATGATTTTTAAAAGTCCTTATGTTCAAGAGATACATACTGAAATATTCATTGATAAAATGTGTTTGGAATTTGCTTCAAAAGAATCCCGTGGTGGGGGGGGGTGACATGGGGAGAGGAAACAAGATTGGTCAGGCTGCTTCACCAGTTAGCACCTCAGGCTTGTACTCCATGCACTTGTCATCAGGAAGGCCTCTGGCCTATGGCATGCCAGCTACATGTGGTAGTAGGCAGTTATGAGAAATAGGATCCTTGGTATTTGGCCAAGGGTTTGCCTGAGGAGCGGTCTCTGTCACAATATCTGCCGAATGTAAGTAAAGCCTAGCCTCTCATTCTGGGTGTTGCCAGCTTTGGTATCTGCTGCTCTAGAGGAGTGCACTGTTGGGTTCCTCTTAGGCAGCAGTGGAGGAGAGCTTAGCAGGAGGAAGCTGGACAGTGCCTGAGAAAGAAGCCAGAAACGAGAGCAGATGCTGATCATACTTTGGCTTCTGCAGGACCATGGGTGGCAGCTATGGTGCCCTCTGCCCTGTTGATTGTCTACTTACTGATGTGTTAATTTCTGAAACAGGTTTTCAGTGCTGTTCACAAGGAGGACTCTGGGCAGTATTACTGCATTGCTTCTAATGACGCGGGCTCAGCCAGATGTGAGGAACAGGAAATGGAAGTCTGTGAGTTAACTCTTTGAGAAGATTTCACTCACTGGAAAACTGGGAAAAGAATAGGACATTTGAGAATGAATTCTAGAACATCAGTTGAAACAACTCTTCTGGCATGTGTCAGCTTTTGTCTGGAGGTGACAGGGTCCACCGGGAGCCATTTGGGAGGTTGAAAGAAGGATGAGAAAGTGCTGAATCTCAGCAGATGCCAAACAGACCTTCTGGCACTGGACATGTGGCCGCTCATGTAATTTACACAGTGTATCATCACAGCCTTTCTCCAGTAGTTGATAGGATCATCAAAGCACAAGGTTGGATAAACTTCCAGAAATTTATCCAATTAGTTATTTTTTAGGAAACTGTAAGACAGCTTTCACCCCAGTGATTTTTCCCTGTCCTGTGATGATGGCACTGAAGGTGCGAAGGGCCAGTTAGGGTGTCTGAGACACTCGAGTTCCTTCTAGAATCCTCCACTCCCCCATTTGCAACCACCCTGGAGCAGTGTTTTCCAAAGATGCTTGATGGTAAGAGCATTTAGACCACTCCTCCACAAACATCCCAGGGCCCTAGGCACATGTTAGACATGCATTCTCAGTCATTCTTCTCACCTGGCAAGTCGGGAAGATCTGCTCTAGGGTCATTTTCTCCTGGAGGAAAGTTTCTGAGTTGATAAGTTCCCCGGGTGTTTTTTCATGTATTTTATTTACATAAAGGAAACAGTCCCCATGTTGAACATGACCTTGGCCCTGTGTGTAGAAATGGGAAAAGGCAATGCAGTGGTTTCTTCTGAAAGGCCGGGTGGACATTGGGGGTACTCATTTAGTAGTTTTTACTTTTCAGTCTCAAAACTAACTTACTTCCCCAAAATATTGCATAGCAAAGGTAGGCTCTGATAATTAGGATTTTTTTCACAGGGCTCTTGGCTCCTAATTCTACATGTAATGTAACCGTATCTTTCATCAATAATATTGGGCATTCAGCTGGAGGACTTTTAGTCGTTTTATGGAAGGCCAGGCCTCTCAATTCAGTATTCAGTGTAACTGCCTTTGAACTGTGGAAGGCCCAGATCTTTTCACTTGTAGCATCAGGGGGGTGTTGGCTAGAAAAGTTTTAAGTGTTCTGTGTGTGTTCTTCTGGCTAGGGTAGGCAGGAGAGGGAGGCTAGGTGGTGTGGGGAAAGGGAGGAAGGTCAGGTCAGGCCTTAGAAGAGACCATAGGTAGCATAGCATCTCTTCACATAAACCTTCTTTTCTGCAGATGACTTGAACATTGCTGGCATTATTGGGGGGGTTCTGGTCGTCCTTGCAGTCCTGGTCCTGATAACACTGGGCATCTGCTGTGCATACAGACGTGGCTACTTCATCAATAGCAAACAGGATGGAGAAAGGTGAGCCTGCCTTACACAAAAAAGACAAAGTCCAGGCCAGCATTCACAGGGTAGCCACGCCACTGATGTGCTGTCTTCCTCCACTCACAGTTACAAGAGCCCAGGGAAGCCCGATGGCGTTAACTATATCAGGACAGATGAGGAGGTAAGGAGCGAAGAGGATAGGTAGCATTCAGGAAACAAGGCCGTCCAGATGTGCCCAGCCAGGAAAACATTCCCGCTTAGAAACCCAGGGGGGCTCTTAGGAAGATTCCCAGTTACATGGGAGACCCTAAGCTCTTAGCTGTTCACAGTAATGGTGCATACTCATGGCATTTGCACATTGCAAACTCTAGTGCATGTTACTGTTCTTTGTTTTATTCTGTGTGGGAGTGGGGGGAGTATTGGGGGTTGAAACCTAGGGCCTCCACACTGAGCTACATCCCCAGCCCTTTTTATTTTTAAATAGAGTCTAAGTCATTAAGTTGCCCAGGCTGGGCTTGAACTTGAAATCCTCTTGCCTCAGCCTTCGAGTTCTGGGATCACTGGTGTGCACCACCATGCCCGCCCAGCTGTTAAGACCAGTTGTTTTATTTGTTTACAGTTTGGTCCCTAGCTTCCTCTGTAGTATGGGCTGAGTTTTCCCTTTCCCACCACCCGCCTTGGGCCCTGGATGTGTTCTGACTGTGGGCTGGTTTTGCAGGGTGACTTTAGACACAAGTCATCGTTCGTGATCTGAGACTTAGCAGTGTGGCCAAGAGCACATGCAGATACCTCTCCTAGAAACTCCTGTCAAGGGAGCCACAAGCTGTGTGCACCTGGACGAAGAGACACTCATGCAGAAGCTTTTTGTTTTGGCCAAAGTGGACTGCTACTCCTTTCTTACTCTAACAAGCCACACAAATAAAAGAACCTTCCTCAAGATGGGCACAGTAACCACCAGGAAAAGAATGAGTTCACTGAGTTGCTCCCCAGTCCACTGCTGGCCCAGTCCCTCTGTGGGTAGCAGGTGATCTCAGAAGTCCCGAGCCACACACTATGGGCCTGTATCTGCCACTGGCTGTTCAGCAGCCAGGGTGAGAGCTACTGCATGAGGATGAGGTGACGCAGCAGCAGCAGCAGCAGCAGCAGCAGCACTACTGTGAGCACTGGAAAAGGGTCTGCACATAGGGTTTGTCTGTGGGCCTGACCCTCCTGGATGCTCTTGTTCAGGCTCTAGTGATGGGTGTTGTCCATCTTGTCAGATTCACATTTGGTAAAGAACCAAATGGGGGGGAGGGTACATGGCTTGCTGGAAGAGGGCTCTTCTTCAAGGACCCTGCTTGTCTGAGGCTATAGATTTGAGGAAACCCCTTTGTCTTAGGCTAAGTCTGAAATGGTATTGAAAAAATGCTTTTCTATGGTTCTTGCTTATTTTATAATATTTCACATTCTAAATTTTTGCTAAAGATGTATTTTGATTATTGAAAGGAAAATTTCTATTTAAACTGTAAATATATTCTCATACAGTGTTTAAAACTTATTTTTTTAAGAGTTCAACCTAAAGTGGAAGTTCTAAGCTACTAGTGGTTAACTGAAAAATAGCAGTAATTCTTTTACCCAAGGAATCCTCTCAAGTTGGCTTCTTGGAACGTTCATTTGTCCATCCAAGTTTTAGCATTTTCATAAGAAAACTTAGGCCATCTGCACTTGAGACCATTGTTGTTTAAGAAACCCTTAAATATTCCAGCTCAGCCATGTGGACATCTTTTTTGCATCTTTCCAAAAGAAAGCCAGGGAACTGGGGTCAGCTTTGACCTGTCTATTCCTGAGATCACTAAGCTCCCGTGCCCTGAAGCAGACCACATTGGTGGACTCTTGGGAAAGGGTCAGATGCCACCATTCTGAGTGGGGGTTTGGGCCCTTCACCTTTATAGTCCTGGGCACAGCTTTTGTCCCACCCATTCATTTGGTAGTACTGTTCACATGCCATGGTGTGCTTGGTGTTCTGGCTTGGGTGCTTCGGGGTTGCTTCTGCTGTGTGACATCCCAGCTTTCTGGTTCCTAGGAAAGATCTTTTGATTGAGGATGGCTCACAAAACAAAGAAGCCACTGCTATTTGTTTTATAAGTTCATTCTGATTATGCAGTGCATAAGATTGTCCAAAGGCAATTCTAAAATCAAACCTGTGAGCTATTCTTTGAAGAAAATGAACCCATTGATCCTCTTTTCCCTGAAGAACACACCTGGCACTGCAGGTTCTTGCTCCTTCACAACAAATGTGTGTTGGCAGCCAGGCCAGCCTTTTGAAGATCAAGTGGTGCAGCCAGGGTCAAAAGCATGATGATAAGGAAAAGAAAATGCCTGCATCAAAAACCATTTTCTAATTTTGATTTTGAATTTATCTACCTGACACTGCTCACTTTGTAGGGACATTAGAAACATCATTGAAAAGCTTTTGTTCTTCAAGAGTGATGTTCTCAGGCACAGATACACTGCCGTGTTAGACTTCTGATGATGAAGTGGTTCAGAGCTAGAAGCTTCTCAAAGGAGCACCGATTTCCACTGTGTTCCTGGAGGGTGGTTTTTACGTAGAATGTAGTCACCTGTAATTCAACTTTCAGTGTCTTAATTTTTTATACTTTCAATTTTTTTTTATTGAATACTTGTGATGTACTGACTTTTCTTTTTCGTTACGTGACCTACTGTCATTTGGGATGTTGGCAGGGCAGCAGGGAACTCTTCTGCCCTCATTCAGTTTTCTTGGGTGTCTGTATCCTGAATGCTTAAGACTGCCCTTCCTCTCCACTGCCTCTTGGTAGGAAGGGCAGCTGTCCCCACTTCCACTGTTGGGGATTAATACCCTGACCCCTTCCTGGGGTCACAGCAGTAGGGCAGCCCGATCTCCATTTGTACACCTACTCTTCTGCACTAGTGCCATGTGAACTGGGTCTGACAGAGAAGTGACACAGCCTGCGAAGTGTTGCCTGTGACATAAAGCTGCAGACAGAGAAGGGAGCGCTTGTCAGTGTTCCTGAAGACTCAAGAAGCTTGTACAGGGCTGTTCTTCAGGCCTTTGGTATGATTGTTGTTGTATATAGGTGTTATAGACTTGTACTAATACACATGTAATTTGGTATTTGTTAAAACCTCATTTATAAAAGCTTTAAAAACATCAAAGCTTACTTCTTTCTTTCTTTGTACTTAGGTTGGATGTACCACATCTTCCTAGCATTGTTAGGCAGGTACACTAGAAAGGTATGGTCCCATCATTGTCTGCAGGGAACTCAGAACCTGTATGGAGCCATCTGTTCACTCAGAAGCAGCTTTGTGACTCAATGCCCTGATGACAAGGCCATCTGTGCCACAGAGTTCATGTATGGGAGGCCAGTGGCTTTCTGTCTACCAAATCCAACTGCATGCCAAAACACACAGCGATTTGGGAGCTAACTGGGGATGCAGCTCTGGTGGAGCACTTGCCTAGCATGCCTGAGGCCCTGGGTTCCATCCCTGGCACCACATACACAGCATGAAGGGGGGCCAAGGGATAACAGGAGTGGACATGATCAAATATATGGTGATTCTTTAAGTTTATCACAGTAAAAGATACTTGGCTCTTGATCCCCACCCTACCCCCTTATCCTGTTCTTTGCCACTTCATGAAGTAGTCCTGGAAGCCTTCTTTCGGGACTGTCTTTACAAGATGTGATAAAAAATACAGAGAATGCTGCTGCCCAGTGCCATCAAAAGGAAAAAAGGTTTGTGAAAACACTGTTGTGTGTCCTCATCCATCTTTTTCATTGAATCTAGCTCTTCCCCAAAGTTAAAATGACCATCTGAGATCAATGATGTGAAGTGATTCAGGACATTGAGGCAGCTAAGACAGTGTAACTAAATATATGAGAGAGGACTTCCAGCCCTCCTTCAGAATGTGGCAAGGATGGGATAAATGTGTTGAAGGAGGACTATGACAATGTATCTTTTAAATGACTTTTTAAAATTAAAAAATTAAATAGTCACGATATTTTTCAGTCATACTTCATGTTATATACATGGGTAAAATACCACACCGAGCCAGGAGCGGTGCACACCTACAATTCCAGCACATACGAAGCTGAGGGAAGAGGACAGTTTGAAGCTAGCCTGGGTTGCACAGCAGGTTTAAGGCTAACCTGGACTACATGAAACTCATAAAAACCAAGCAAAAAGTATATCCCTCATTGAAACCAGTTATTTTATAAAATTAATAGGGACCTATAACAAAATTTTCAATAACTTTAAAAGAAGAAAAAACACCAGTTAACTTTGTACTCTTGCTTCTGTAATAATGGTTTAAAAAAGGAAAAAACAAAACAAAACCAGGCAGGCCTGGTGGTGTGAGCCTGCAGCCCCAGCTGCCCAGGACTCCAAGGCTGGAGGATTACCTGAGGGAAGAGTCAGGGCCAGCCTGGGTGGTGCAGCAAGATCTTGCTCTAAAAAAACCCCCAAAAACCCAACTGCATTTCCTCATGGGTGCAGTTCAGAGGCAGCTGGGTTCTCCTGACGGTGGTGGCAGAGATGAAGCCTCCCCACAGCGGCGCAGTACTTGGCAGAGGACCTGTGGACTGATATCACTGCCATTCTGCCTAAGGGCATGAAGCTGTGTTTCACAAGCAGGGATCATGCAATTAACCAGCCCCAGCCCCGAGCCCCACAGCACCTGCAAAATTGGTCCCCGTTCTTTAGTGAACTGGCCGGTCTGATCCGCCTCCCCAGCATGTGGCCCCTCCAGTTTCTCAAACTGAAGCCCTTTTCCTTTTTCCTCCTTTGTTAGGGAACTGGCTTGATCTTTGTCAGATATTTTCTCCTTTTAGTTAAACTTCCTGTAAATGCATGCTGAAAGGCTCAGTTTAATCTCCGTTACTACTGCAGCGAGGCCCCGCACAGCCTGTGAAGGTAATCTATACCAATAGGGTGTCTGTTGTCAGGGGCAGACAGCTTCCATGTGGGAACAAAGGCAGGCAGCAGATAGATGACCCAGGCCTTAGGGACAACCGGAATCATCTTTTTCCTAATGGGAGATTTAGTTTCACTCTTAAATACTTTATGTAAAATTACGAAGCCCACAATAAAAGTTTTGTTCTAAAAAACAAAAAAATCCTATTGAATGCTAGAAGCCTGTATTTATGCTTGGCCTTTATTAATTTTAGAAAGCTGTACAATATTTTGAAAATCTGAAATTATAAATAGAAAAAATATTACAGTCAAAATTTTGTCATTAGATATGGGAAAATACTATAAGGAATTTAGACAAGCTAATAATAGAAGCTTGATTTATATAAAAGAAAGTTGGAGTATTTTGTGTTCCTTAAAGACCAGATTTGTAGCTTATCAGAATGGGACTTGACACTTAAATGGGATGACGTGTTAATATTAATCTGGCATTTCTCTGTTACTTTACAATGTTTTAACTCCAAGTTTTGCAAAAAGAAAGATAAAAGGTTGGCTGGCCAGCCACAGGTGAGCAGAGAGTGCTGGGACCTCACAGAGAAGCTTTGGTATCACACAGTGAGCAGCACCCAGAAGAGGCGCATGTCCCCTGCCTGTTCCCACAAAGCAAACAAGACCTTCCCTCCAGGGCCCCGCCTTCCTGGGCATCAGTGGAGTGCAGCTTCAGTTGGCTGTTTTCAGGGGGGCCTTGCGGATGGACCTCCTGCTGGGGACTGGGTTGCCTTTATTCCTGGCTGGGGACATCACGTTCCACTGCTGAGGCTGTGCAGGCCTGGGGAAAGAAACAGCCCTTCTATAACTAAAAGAAGAAACCCTGACAAAAACATCAACCTCCAAAGGAACCCTTTGGCAAACTTACGGTTTATCAGGCAGTGATAAACATAAAATGTCATTTCCTTGATTCTGGGCTTCGATTTTGTCTGAAAGGAAATTAAACACAAATTCAGTTTTCCCAAAATTTCAAAGGCAGCTGGTGGATCAGACATGAAGGAAAGTGGAAACTTGCCTTTGGCTGGAAGAGGAGTCTGTGATGTCTCTATGTAACTGACCCCGGCTCCAAACGTGACTTCACTGATGGACCCTGGGTAAAGGGGAAACACTGCCATTAATGAAAAGCTGGTAAGATCAGCCCTCAGATACAGCTGCCTGAGCAATTGGGAGAGCCCTGCTCTGGTTTTTGTTCACATCCCCTGCCCTACACCCAAGTGACCGTCACTGTCAGGCCTCAGGCTGACCTTTTCCCACGACCTAATGGTGTGAAACTCCTCCTCCTGGAAACTCCCTTCAGTCTACCTGACCGTCATTCAGACCATAGCCTCCTCATGCTGCTGTGGCCTCTGCATTTTCACTGCTCTGACTGGTGACTGCCACATGCCAAAGACTCCCAGCCCACCTCGGGCTACTTGCTATTGAACTTCATCTGGAGCCCCTAAAGAGATGTTGCCAATGCACTACCTCTTTACACTTTCCCTTTTTTGGTACCAGGGACGTTTGTTCTGTTTTCCTACTCAGTAAATAGTCCCGTCTAAGCTAGAGATACCATAGCAGCCACTTCCCCACATGGAATCAGTAACCACACCAGTCCATCCTAGCTTCAAGGAGCCCTGCATCCTGTGACCTGCCCTCCTACCTCACTATGAACACCCCGGCCATCTTGCTGTTGTTGTTTACAGGTCTTTCAGTCCCCCTTAGGTAGAAGAGCACACTGCTGAGGAACAGAATAAAGCAGACTGGGTTTGCATCCTGGCTCTGTCTTACTGTGTGAGCTACGCTAAGAATTCAACTCTTCATTTCTAAAATGGAGATGAAAACTCACCTAACCAACAGGGTTGTCAAGACTGAATGATATTATTTATGTAAAGTACCTGCTACAAGGTAAGTGCTGAATGAATGTTGGCCACTACCACAGTTTTTAGTTAAAACTTATTAGGTACTATCTCCTGTGTCACTGGAGTCATTTAAAAATCAAATAGAGTTATTGTCCAGAGCACCTTGATGACTGTGTTCTGAGGAGACCTAAAATCTATTCTTGGTCTGTGGGGGCCCCAAGCTGCCCTTACAAACACACATGCTATGTGCACATGCCATGGCCCACTGTGCCCGTGGAGTGCCTCTCCGCCGGGCCCTGGCATGTCACACCTGCGTGCACACTAGCTTCTGCCTGGCCTGCTGGCCCCATCTCTCCACAATGCACCCTCAACTCATGCTTAGCAGGTGCAATCTCCCCTGTGCTGCTGCACGCTCTGCCTAAGTGCCATCAACACACTTCTAGGGGGCAGAGCACAGGCCTGGCTCAGCCCGCCTTCCTTCTGACAGGTGCATTTGTCAGGTGAGCTTTAGAGTTCTTCCCATTCTCCACATGCTGTAGCTCCTTATGATCAACCTGTACCTTTTTGGTCTAAATTTTAAAGTCCTGCAGTTCTACAGATCTGGGAGTACTCTGGCTTTTAGGTAATGGAAGAGAACTACACTTTTATCACTGCCGCCGCTGATACAGCTCAGAGTGGCTTTCTCCTGTTGCCGTGAGGATCCTCCTTGTGCTGTCATCTGAGATTCCCTTTCCTTCTCTACACACTGCGTTTCCTGGTTAGAAGCCTATGTGCAGTCCAGATAATAATCTCTCACCTTTACAACAACACACACATGGTAGCTCTCACACCCGCAGCACATGCTATGCTTAGACTCAAAGGCAGAATCACCTTGGTTGCCTTAATTACAGCAGTGAAAAAGGTACTTGCCCCTCTCTGCCTGATTTCAGTTAAAATCCTAGCTCTGAAATTATCCCTTTCCACTTAGCAAAACCAATGCTGGCTGAATATTCTTGGTGGCCTGCACAGCTTCCCTACTGGCTTCATAGTCTTAAGACCACTTCCTGACAGTCATCCCCACCTAAACCAGGAGGCACTTGTATTTATAAACCACACTGATGCTAACAGCACTGAGTGCTCTTAAGTTCTCTGATAATTTTCCCAGTGAGGGGAGCCAATAGAAAGCCCTTCTTAAAGCATTTCTTCATGGTTTAAAACACATGGACAGAAGTCAAGTCGACAGGGGAATCACACTCCACAGCCTGGAGAAAGAGCAAATGCTCTGCTGATCCAAAGACACTACAGTCCCATTTTCAGTGCAGATGAGTTCCACACATGCAAATGCAAGCAGCATTAATGTGCCATGCCAGGTTTCACTGCTGAGGACACATGCTGCCAGGAAACCAAAAGACTGAAATCAGGGACTCAAGGGATGAGCGAGGCTAAAATGAGAAAGAACCATTCTCTGCTTCTGCAGCATATGGCACCTAACTGCCGAAATAGAAGCTCTTGCTGCCCCCGAGCCAGGAACACAGAACATAGAGACAACTTTTCTCTTTGGAGGAGGCTGGCTAGTTTACATTTTTAACATTGTATCTGTCAACAGAGAGGAAGCTAGAACTGCCAGCCTTTTGTGACAGAAGCATCACAAGGCTATTGTACCTAAGGAGAGGTGGGGTGGGGATTCTGTTATCTATTAATCTCCCTTTACAAGAAGGGTCTGGAAGAAAATTACCTAAAGCCCTGTGAGTATTCCATGACATTACAGCGCCACAGGTTAACAGAATCAAGCAAGCAGCCAGAACACAGGAGGTGCTCAGGCTGATAGAAGCCTGACAGAAGGGTGCTGGCTCCTCCATTATGAAAGGGAACCCCTGGGCACAACACTCCTCTCTTCATGCTTGGATCCAAACTGGGAAAGCCAGGCTGGACAGAGGACACAACATGAATCAGAGGCCTTAGCCCCAGCTCTGCCACTGAAGAGATCCCTGTGTGACATCCACATCTGTGGAGTAGACCCCACAGGAGTCAGTGAGGAACGGCAAGGACAGACCGAAAACGAACACGGAGGGCCAGGAGAGGCTGTGGCAGATGAGGATGCAGCATGGGAAGGCCCAAGTCAGGAAGAGTGTGGCTGGACATCGGCACCCCAAGAAGGCCACACACCACTGGGGTGCAGATGAGGGACACGCAGGAGCATACCAGGCAGGCCCCGGAAACTCCAGTCCATATTTTGGACAGTAACAGTTTTTTCATACTACATATAGAGGATCTGAAAATAGAAAATCTAAAATGCTCTAAAATCTGACCTGTCTGGAATGCCAACATGAGGCTGTAGGTGAAAAATTCCACACCTGACTTTGCGTAATGGGTTGCAGTCAAAATAGAGATACAGTAAAAATACTGTATAAAATGACCTTTAGGCCATGTGTAAAAGGAGTATACAAAACATAAATAATTATTGTTAGGCTTGGGTTGCATCCCCAAGATAATTCAGTTTATTAGTATAAAAATATTTCAAAATCTGAAAATATCTGAAATCTAAAACACTTCTGGTCTTAAGTATTTTGGATAAAGGATCCTCAATGTGCATAATTTTCTCAAAATCATAGTTTCTATGGAGTTTGTGTCAATAATAAGCCATGAAATGAAAAACTGGGATAAAACATTTTACTCTTCTAACTGCCCTCTCTTGTGAAAAGGAAAAACACCAGGTGGAAGTGAGAAGCCACTGGCTTTGGGCACAGCAGTGCATGGTCCTCACTGCCAAACCTCTAGCTCAGGGTGCTGGAAGCCCACTCCAGGTCACCCAAGACACCTCCAGTGCTAACCCCCCTCCCACCCCCGCTGGAACAGACCAGTGAGCGCACACACACACTTGCATGGCAGGGAGGGCACAAGAGTACTGCTTCACAATGGCGCTGGGTGGGTCGGTGACTGATCTATTTGGGCCTCAGCTTCATACTGGTCACACTGAACTGAAGCATGCAAAGCACTGGGAAGAGCACCTGACCTTCAGGAAATGCTCAGTGAATCCAGCAACTGCATGGCTGTGAAACATGGAATCTGAACAATGCACTATAATGCAGCTGTGTATCAGGAGAGCTTTTAGACAGAAGATCTAGCTATCTTGCAACAGAGTTTTACTACCACTCTAGCAAGCACAGGACAGCTGTGGTGGAGACCTGGGAGGGGAAGTTCATTCAATCTCACGACTTACTCTCAGGAGTGCTGATGGCTCTTTTGGTTATCCAGTCCATGGATCCATCAGTCTCTCGCTCTAAGTTGTAGGGAGATGCTACAATAGAATGGAAAAGTCTTATCTGTCCAGAAGCCCCAAAACAGTATCACAAAACAGAGAAACTAAATGAGAAAACGTAAGATATATATGGTAAAATTAAAATTCCTAATGTTTAAAGTATTCTTATAAAGAAGCAATTCAGAAATAACTACAAATAAATGACCACATGGAAAAACATGCCCATTCTTGCTAGAATTCAAAGAAATGGAAATTAAAATCATATCATTTTTGGTCTATAAAGATCAGCAAAGACAAATGTGAAATTATAAAGCCAGTGCTTCTAAGCAGGAAAATAGATACTCCGGTACCATTTGGCATGAATGATGGATAGTTTGATACTATCAGAGCTTTTAAATACAGCCTTTGGCTGCTGGGAACAATCCCATTACACATACAAGGTTGTGCATGCAAGAATATTTACTACTGTAATACTATTTGTATCAAAAAATTGAAAAGCATCTACAGTTTCAAGAAATTGGGCAGTAATAAAAAAGTTTCGGTACTTTCACAAGATGGAATGCTATACAGCCTTGGGAGAAGTTTTGAAAAGTTCATGAAAAAATTTTCACTGTATGTCATTAAAACTGTATGTAGGGAAGCAGGTTATAAAACAAGACATACTAAGATCATTTTATGAATAAAACATACATGTGAAGAGTAGAAAGGCTGGAAACCTCAGTGCTATGGATGAGTCTTATATTTCATTGTTTCCCAAATGTTTTAGCATAAGCATGCATCATTTTCTTATCTATAATCTTATATCCCCAAATAATGTTACTTATTTGAAAAATAAGAAAACAGAAACCATTTTAAAAGGAATGAGAAGTAGACCTGTGTTTTCACCTGCACGTTCCCGCTATGTTAAGGCTTACCATTGCTGGTTGGTTTCCCTGGGCTTCCAGAACTTAAAGAGAAAGGCAATACTCCCACACTTCGGCTGCGGTGCCTACTCTTGGACTCCACAGCTTTCTTGACAGAATTCAGGATTGCAATGGTACTCAGGGACATGGGCCTGTAGAGGATAACAGGGCACAGACCCTGACTCAGGGCAGAGCACTGCGCTGATGGCGGTTACAGAGATGCCCACCCAATTTCTTTCAAACCACCGTTGGCTGACCCACCCTCTTGCCAGTCTCCCTGAAGTGCAGCAAGGTGTCAACAGAAACACTGGTGCAGAGACAGAGGCAAAGCCTCTGCAGAGTACCCCTAGCAATGCGCACTGCCACCGCCTCAGCATGCTCCTTACCTGGCCCCTGGCATTAACATCTTCGGAGGCCCAGTTTCCAGCATGTGGCCAGTGCTGGACTCGGGTGCTGAAGGCTGGCTTGTGGCCGGAGACACAGTTGCAGGTTTTTGGCTGACAGGAGCTGGCATTACTTCTAAGCCTGGGATGACCTGTTAGAGAAGATGAATGGAATCTTCACATGCTATGAGCAACCCCATACACAATCTACTTTAAAAGATATCAGCAGCGGTTAGTACAATTTTTCTTTAAAACAGAACTATCAGCAAACTGCCATATGTAGATGTGGCATTAAAGAGAAAAAGGAGTAAGTTAGCTTGGCCTTATCACTTTCTAATGCAGCAAATCTGTTTGGATGCCTCAGGCAATAAGAACTTCTTGCTTCTAATATGAGCAGCAGCTAAACCCAAAGACCTGGGGCCTTCTGCTCTACAGAGGAGCAGCCATGAGAAAGACAGCAACGACCTAAGATGCCTGAGGTCATGGGTGTAAAGATAGATGCCCTCTGGCAGCTCACCTTCTAGACACTCACACATCACTGCTACTGTGACTTTTCAGGCAAGGCCTCATGGCAGGGCCTGTGGAAAGAGAAGCCTCCAGCTATCAGTGCAACAAAGGAAGACACACCTGCTAACAGGTGGGTTTTGAGGCAAGCTGGGAAAGCACAGAGCAGACGGGAAAGCTGGCCGACCTAAGGTGGGCCTCTTGTCTGTCTACCTGCATGGCTTGCGCTCCCGTGTCACTGTCAGCCGCCCTGCGTGCTTCTGCATGTTTGGCCAGCTCTCGCTCCTGGGCCAGCTGTTCACTGTACTTCTTCATGTCATACTCGAGTTCTGAGGCCAACTGTTTGTCAACTGCAAAGAATTCCTTGACTTCATCTCGGTAATCCTGCATCACCTCCTAAAAGAGACCCCAAAGCATCTTTTAGTGTTTCCTTGAACAAAGAAATAAGCTCTCCAACAGAGGTTGACACAAAATAATAGAACAGTAAGATTTTTATTCCTGAGTCCAGGCTACTTCTATCACATTAAAAAACAGGCTACTTAACTGCACATTCCAAGGAAACAAACCCCCTTTATGCTGACCATGAAGGGAGATGTTAACTAACCATTCAGATCTCCTAGGCAGCATCCTAACTACCTGCAGGTAATAAGTGGCTGCCTGGACTCATGAGAAGGGAAAGACAAGGATCCAGCTTAGACGAGCCCAGGAGCAGTCATGGAAGGCAGTGCAGTGTAGAGGCCGCTCCACTGTTGCCTGTCAGCTTTTCCCACTGGAACCCAAAGATTAAATTTTTGTTTCTAAAGATTTTATAGTAAACCTCAATATTCTCAGGTCTTAAAAAGGACTGCTTGGAGCAAGGCCTCTTGGCCAAGAGCAAGAAATCATTTTGCTGAGAGTATCAGAGGAAGGAAAAGATAGACTGCAGCTCCAATGAGGAGGGAAGCCCAGCAGAAAGGAAAATCCCTCTGGTGCTTCCAGCTGTCAGTACACACAGCTCCACAGGCAGAGGGAATCCTTCCCGGATTCTGTGAGAAGCGGCAGTCCTACGGCACAGCTTAGAAACAGGATGATGGCTTGTTTAAGCATCTTATTTAGGACCTAAGTTCTAGTGTTCCTCCACAAACCCCTGAAGTTTAAAATAGTTACAGCAATAAAAATATAAGAATAATTAGGTTCTCCTTTTTTCCATGTAGTAAGCCTCTCTCCTCCTCCTTAGCTTTCCTAGGATAAAAAGCTACTGTAAAAATTATATCCAGTGTAATTTTGTTGTAGCCTTTGTAGGGAAAAAATTTTGGGGGGGAAAATATATGAACATGGAAAAAAATCCTGATAGATTAAAGGAAAATATTGTTGCATTTATTTCTGAGACACCTGGAAAGTAAACATCCCATAATTAACCTCATAAGCACTTCTTACCTCACACCTCACCAAGATGCACTAAGGTGACTCTGCCCTGGGCCCAGTAGAGAAAGTCTTTAAAATAGAATCTAATCCTATCAAGGGTGGACACTCAGGGTGGCACATCAGCCCTTTATAAACCCAACTGCACAAGTAGAAGGAGCAACTGCAGCAGCACCCCTGGTCAAGCCCCACCTGACAGTATTTCTAAACAAATCAGTGGAACGTCGCTTTTGCTGCTTCCTTGGTTCTTATCTTTACTATCTGTCTACACCCGCAGAAGATGCCAAGTGACGAACTTGGAGGTGGACACAACCCCAAAAGTCAAGCTCCTCCTTTACCCTGAGATAGTACATGAGTTCCCGCAATGCTGGGATCTTATTTTTCTCCAGTATAGTCTTCAGGGAAATGATAATTGGAATAATATTTTCTATGAAATTCTTCTTCTGGACCTGCAGTAACACAAAAACATGTTTTAGATTTATAAACTTCTTTTTGTACAACCAACCTACCATACTATGAAAGTTTGTTTTTGATTTTTTGGTTATGATACTAGGGATGTACAGACCTGCTTTTCTGTAGCATTACAGGAAAATACTTGGAAGATTTGTATTGCAGAGCACAGATAAATACTACTCATATTTTCTAAATAAGAAAAAAAGAGTAAGAAATATGTTGAATAATGATAAAAAAGCTCCAAATCCCTCACAGACCCTTGACTCTGGCTCCATTCTCAGTCTTTCCATTCAGCATCCTTCCCTACATCCTGTGTTCCTGAGGTTGAAATGATAATGGTCTAAAAAGGCTAAGCATGAAAATGGCCAGCTTTGTACATGGGTGTGTGTGTGTGTGTGTGTGTGTGTGTGTGTATACGCCACTTTGCATATTCAACTTTGTATATTTTCAAAAGTGCTTTGTATTTATACAGTACTTGATTTAAATGATCAGTAACTAAAATATTTTGCAATAAATAAGAATTAAAATATTCTATTAGCTAATATGTGTAAGATTTATCCTTCTGAACTTGCAAAGTACTCTTTGATATCATTTAAAGTCACTAACATGTTTCTTGCTTGTAAATAATTTCTGAAAAGTCTTATCGGGGCCAGGCGTGGTGGGACACACTTGTAATCCTAGCACTTAGGAGGCTGAGGCATGAGTCTTGTTGCAAGTTCAGTGCCAACCTGAACTGTATAGCGAGACCCTGTCTCAAAGAAGAAACAACACAAGTCTGATCAGTCCCTGAAACAGGTAGAACAAGCAATTGAATAAATACGAAACTGAACAGATGGTACTAGTTTAGGAACAGTCTTAAAGAGTGGACTACATGTGTTGTTAATGGGCACAATAAAGGACCTTCTCTGCCTCAGACACAAAGCCAACCACTGGTGATACAAAAGTGAAGCCAAGAATTCCTGCCCTTGAGCTGCCGAAGGGCATAACACAACAGTGACAGGAGGCTGAGGTTTTCAGAGACTTCTCATGAGATAAAACATATATATGATAAATTTGCCTATCTTAAGAGAGCAGTTTTGAGCTTTTGACTACAGGATATACTGGGTAACCAATGCCACAAATCCCCTACAGTCCATCATCCCCAGAAGTTCCTTGCTGCCCCTTACAGTCAATCTGCTTCGAGTCTGTTATAAGCAGAGGGATAAAATGCTCCAATCTGCATTTAAGGAAGATTGCTCTGGCAGCAAGGCAGTTTATGGCCTGCAACAGAAGGAACTAGAGACAGAAAGGGTGCTAAGAAATCTACTGGGAATGGAACAGGCCTGAAAGGTCAGAACCAGTGGAAATGCAGAAAAGAAGTGATTTGTAAGATCAAATGGGTAAGATCTCTCATGGCAAGCCTGTAGGACCAAAGTCTATTCCTTTGGGTCAGATGGAAAACAGAAATCAGCCATTTTAAACTAGGCACCAAAAATACAGGACCTGGTAAGGTCTGGGGGCAGGTGGCCTTTCCCAAGGTCAATCAGATTTAACCTCCTGGTCAAAGAACACACCTGGCAACCAGACTCCCTTCCTGTGTTCTGCTGTAGCACCAGGTGCCCTTTTGATGATTTGGTAGATAAATTAGGAGAAGAGGCAACAGCAGGAAGAAGAGAGGATTAGGATCAGTTAGGATCAGTTGACATACATCTAGGCAGGCAAGCAGAACTGGGTCCAAGCTCATACGAGGAGCCGGAGCTAGAAACAGGCTTGAGGGTCCCCCACCGCTAGGCAGATGACAGCAGGACTCCAGGCACAACTGCCAGGAAGCAAAGGCTGGGGGCAGCTGCAGAGGAGGATGGCACACGCACCTGAGAGATGAGCTGCTTCTGTGCTTCCTGCATGACAATGTTGGCCAAGGCCACGTTGTCCTCCTCCAGGAGGAGGATGTCCTTATCCGGCTTAGCTCTCATCGCCAAAAGCTTGATCTCTTTGGAGCTGAGGACCTCAAAGGTATCTGACAGTAACTCACTGGCTTCCATGTCAAGAGGTAGGATGCCATCAGCGAAGCAGGCTGAGAAAGGGACAAGAGACCAGCTCCTGTGAAACACCCAGACCTGGGGAAAGGTAATTCAGAGAAGTGGGGCCATCTGGGGCTGGGAGGGGTGGTGCCATGGGGTCTGCATGGGCCACAGCTGATGGCAAAGGAGGACAGGTCTTCCTGCAGATCACGCTACAGACCTGCTGGGCCACGGTCGACATCCATTTCACCCCAAACACACCATGCCTACCCAAAATGCTAAGGCAGATTTTCGAAGTGATATTGAACCGTTGCTCATCTGTGAAGTGCTCCAGAAGAAACTTGTAGATTTTCATTCGGCTCTCCTTATTTGTCTTTCCCTTCAGTGAAAACAGCTGCTTCTCTCTGTGGCAGAAGAGGACAATTTCACCACATCACGTGTGCTGGGTGGCAAAGATAAAACACAGAATGTAAAAAGCGCCCTCACAGCTGTGCGCCCCGAGCTCGAGGACACTGCAGAGACTGGGCTGTCAGCACAGGCATTTTTCCCAAGGGACTCAAGTCAGGGTCTGTGTCCCACCCTGATACGAGACAGTCACCCATGCCTCAGTCTGCTCTGCCGAAAGGCACAGAGGCCACTGGGTCCCTCACTGACCTCTCTGACTGGGGGAACTTGTTGTACTTCTCGTGCTTCTCGTAGCTGTTGAAGTGGAAAATGCACTCGATGAAGTGCTGGAAGAACATGACGGGGTTCCGCTTCAGTAACAGGTGAGCCAGACAAAACTCCCCGAAGCTACAAAGGGAGATTCAAAAGAAGGAGACCCATTTACTATCCACAGACACCTCTACAAATACATCAGTACCTCTGGAGAACAGAAAAAAATGGCAAGGTAAGGTAAAGGGTTCTAAGTTACTCCAATAAATGGGTTCATCAGACCAAAAGCAAAGCAGAAGCCAGGCACAGTGGTGCATGCCTGTAATCCCAGCACTCTGGGAGACTGAGGCAGGAGGATCACACGCTTGAGCCCAGCCTAGGCAACTTAGCAAAACCTTGTCTCAAAATATAAAATAAAAAAAGGACTGGAAATGTAGCTCAGTATGAGGGCTCTACATTTAATCCCCAGTATTACAAATAAAACAAAACACAATAAAATAAGCTAGGTAGAAATTCTGCTTCTTTTATCTGTTCCTCCTCAATGCTTCCTTTTGAATCCGAGGTCAGTGTGAAGGCTTTTGCTATGAAGTTTCCTTTCAAAATTTTAAGATGTGACCTCCAGCTACATTTCAAGGAGGAAAACCAAACAACCCAGCTTCCCCAAACAGCTTCTTCAAGTATAGATCATGGCACTGGTCACCTGAAAATAAACATCTGAATTTCATCCCCCAAACTTCAAGTTTTTGTTCACAATGATGAACCACAGCCAATATTGGTAACTGGAACTTTACTTTTGAGAAGGGTTTATTAACAAGACCTTCATAGTCTAGGTCAATAGGGCAAGTACAGAACTCTCCACACAATGACTATCACTGAGCTCTGGTCACTGGCAAGCCCTGGGTGCTGTCCTTCACCTGGCCCAGGCTCCCAACATATCTGCCCAATGCTACACACTGGACAGATGCCACCAAGACTGCACCAAAATGAGGGGAAAGATCCTAATAGTTTCCAAAGCCATTTGGAAAGGACAAAAGCCAAACTGCTGGCCTCTAGGCTACCTGACTATTTCTGGTTTTCCATGGTAGTAATGAACAATGCCAAGACCCTGGGTTTGCTTGGGGGCTAACCTCAGGTGGTTCATTCACTGCCACGACCAACATTTAGCTTCATTTCAAGCCCAGATGCAATTCCTACTTAGAAAGGAGCACTGGGCAGCTCTCCGCTAGACAGGAGCAGGGACTAAACAATCCAGATGGCAGGGGCTTGGCTTTGGGAACATCAGAACTTTGCAGGAGATTCACCTTCCCCTAGTACGTGCCTCGGGCTAAGATTCAAGTCAGACATGATTCTCACCAATTAAAATTACACACATCAATTAAAACAGAAGATGGTTCAGAAATCATGATAGAAGCCTAGAAAAACTTCTGATGCTGATATAATATCACGCTTTAACTATTTACGTAGGAAATAAGGCAGCAGCCTGATTTATAAATACAAAAAGAAAACAAATGAAATTCTATTTAATATAAGAAATTCTCAAGAATTCACATGAGGGCAGCCAGAAGCACTGTTTGACCAGAGAGCAGTCAGTATATTCATTACAAACTGTGCTGCTTAGCAATCCAGGTTTGAAAGGGGAAGAAAGTCACAGCAGCTTAATGTTCTTTCTAAACAAGGGTTACTTTGGTAAACCACTTCTATACATAACAAAGTAAACCAGAATTCTCCATATTCTCTGACCAGATGGAGATAACCATTAGATAAGTAAAAAACAACCTTCAAAGAACCATAATTTTACATTCTGTAGTCCTTTATTATAGTTAATCTAGCATGGCACAGAAAGTTTAATGTCTATCTGACCTTTCTCCTCAGATTTAAAGTCACATTTATGAAAATGTAAAACTACAACTTTTGCAAAAGGAGCTCGTTTAAGCTTTGACCGGAGGCCAAATGCTAATCTACTCTGCGTTTGGGTCAAGAGCAGATTAGCAGAGATCATGCTGTAGAGGGGTGGTGAGTAAACTGTGGCATGTGTATCGCAGTGGGCACACACAGCCCTCTGTAAGCATGACAGCCAAGTCACCCTAGCAGCCAAGCAGTGGATATTCAAGTTTAATTGCGGTGTTGGCACTTTGTGATAAATAAGTGGGTTTTGGGTTGAAGTTTGGGCACTCGTCTCTAAAAGGTTCGCCATCGCTGCCGTAGAGTCTCTGCCCTACTGGAAAATTGGCTCAACCAACTATACAGATAAACTCAGTAGTAACAATTTACCCAAAGGTTCCTGTGCTCAGGGCTGAAAGCAGATATAGATTACCAGCATGAGGCGCTAGGGATCAGGCAGTACATAATATCCAGGAATAATCTTGCTGTCCCATCCATCGGGTTTTATTAAAAGGCCAAGTTTCAGTCTTGGTGGGGAAGACAAACCCATGAGTTTGATAAACATGAGAAGAGGGACTATTCTGGCTTTTGTTTGCTGAAAAGTTAACAGAAATTAACATCCCAAAGTAATGCTTTCTAGAAGAGGCAGAAGACCTCCAGGTACCCAGATTAGGAAACCTCAATGGCTCTAAGGAAAGCTTAGTGAATTAAGAACTCAGCCAGCATCTGTGGCAGTTAATTTTGATGATCAACAAGACTGGACTGAGAGTTGCCCAGGGGACTTGTAAAGGTTCTAGGGGTGCTTAGGGACTGTATCCGGACCACAGCCCCTCCTCTAGGGTCCGGTCCCCTGCTCTCTGATTCCTGGAGCCACGAATGGAGCAGCTTTCCCCCGCCATGCCCTTCTGCCATGAGGATTCTGCCCTGGAGTCAGCCCATCATGGACTCACACCTCTGAAACTGAGACAAATAAACCTCCCCTCCTTTAAGTTGTGTATCTCAGATCAGTGTGTATCACGGAGATGAAAAGCTGAATACAGCACCCTTCCCCAGCATGTTGGCATCCCTCAGGGCAAGTACTAGGGACAGATGGAATCACAATGCAGATGCAGGGATACTGTCTAGATATAACACAGCATGAATCACAGACATGGAAAACAAGGACAGACCAGCTAGTTGAAGCAACAATAACCCTGTAGGAGAAAATGATTACTCCTTTACTAAGAATCAAAATTCAGCATTCAAACAATCTGATAAGGCCACAAGGGAAGTAAAGTCTGTTCACTTCTATTTTCAGTATTATAGGAAACATAAAGATATGACTTATTTCAGATTTCCTTCCAAGACAAATAACATTTTGAAGGCTTCTATTACCGGGCTCCTCTTTCTATCTGGCTTCCATGTGTCTACTTGGGGATCTGACCCACTTCTACCAGAATGCTACTGGAGTCTGGAGCCTGGTTCTTTCCTCCATCTTTGCTCTCCTTGGTTCCTACCCTGATCCAAGCCCCCTTGTTATAAGGCTCTTATCTCTAGCTCACCCCAATATTGTTCTATATTGTTCTTTTCTCCTGATCTAACCTCCCATGATGCCTTTCTCTGGCCTTTCTACAGTGTGCTGTGTTCCAGGTTTCATGATGCATCAAGCCCCTGCCCTCCAAGTCAGTGATGGTGAACCTTCTAGAGGCTGAGTGCCCAAACTACAGCCCCAAACCCACTTATTTATCGAAAAGTACCAACACTGCAATTAAACCTAAATATCCAGTGCTTGGCTGCTGGGACAGTGCTGGGCAACTCTGCTTATGTGCAAACAGGGAAGACTGCGTGTCACATGCCACAGGTTTGCCACCACTGCTCTAAGTGATTCTCTGCACTTCCTCTTCATGAGAGCTGGCTTTCCACCAGGGATGCCATTTCACTTACATTTCTCTCAAAGGGAGGCTGCTTCCTCTCAAATCCCATAGGCAGGAGACAAGGACCACATTTCCCAGCCCATTAATATCTTCACTCATTTATTTACCAAATGTTCACGAAGTGTCTACTTGGGTTTCATGCTCCCTTTCAGGTGCTAGGCTTTAAGTCCTCTGTCCCTCATGAATCCTATAATGTAGTGGGTAGATAGTCTATACGAAAGGTGTTATCAGAAGTGCTCTGAAGAAAAGAACAGCTGGAGGACGGTGCACACAAGAGAGGGGAAGGACAGCTGGCCACTGGTGGAAGCAAATGAAAAACAAACTGCTGCACTTCGTAAGATCCAACCTCTGCTCACAGCCCCTGCACCTGCCCACTCTGCTCTCTACTACTAGATACCTGGTTCAACTTTTCCTTTCCATTCTAGATCCCGACATGACTCAGTGTGTTCAATGCCCATACAAAGGAGCTGAACTGACATGGTAACCTATTTTCCCAACTTCATGGACTGCAGGGATCCCATATATGTGTTTCATGTCACCAGTCCATTGCTGCATCCTGGCACATCTCTACATTGGATATCAAACAGCCTACTTCATGAACACCCCCCACCTATCCTTCTAGCTGTCTGGCTTCCTTACCCCATTCCATTTCTTCTTCAACTCCACTAAGCCCACTAGGTAGTTTAGTACTTCCTGTTTCTCCCAAACCAACCATCTGTGTTATATCCTTTTTCTTCCTCAAGGATACATTATACTGTATTATTCACATTCTTGCCTTCTCTCTGGACCCTGTCTGCTTGCACTTTTGAGGCAACTATTCAGTTGTATGGCTTATATTTAAATGTTCCCCAAAGCCTCATGCAGTCATAGTCGGGGCTTTTCAGAGGTGGCTGGATCTAGGGTATGTGAATGTGGATTAAGGGTGCATGGTAATGGATTAGTCACTAGTTTATCATACTTCTGGGTGTGGGTTATGGGAAGCCCCCACTTTGGGTGTGAGTGGCACCACCCAAAAGGCCTATAGCCTGGATGGGATATAAGGGAAAGAGAGGCTTGCTGCTTCTACTGCTTCTGCTTACTACTTAGTGCCTTCTGTCTTCCCTGCCAAGGACTGTTTTTACTCTGTGATGCCCCTCTGCCATGCCACTCAGCCTTGGAGCCAGCTTTACAAATTGTGAGCCTTTAACTTTAGGTGTTGAATATTTTGTCTCAGCAATGATAAAAGTTTAACTAAGACATCAATTAAACAAACCAAGTGTTATTTGGCTATTTCTCTATGACTACTAGATTACAAGGCCATTCACCTATGTGGGGGAAGAGGGGAAAAAAATCACAATTTTGTAGCTTCCAAATTTTGGTTTATATAACCAATTAAAAATTTCATATAAATTTGCTCATGCCAGAATCTTCAGGAAATCCAGCTGAATAAATACTTTAATGTAAGCAGACAGGTCTGGTCTTTGACCTAAAATCTGGAGAATAGACTAACTTAAATTACATTTAGCAAATATAGTCATCAACTCTTCGAAGTTAAAAATCCTGTCCACATTTGAGCCATAGTTTAAATAAACCCAGAATGCCAAAATAAAATGGGAGGATTTAAGGATGGGGTATTAAAATGCTAGAAGAAATGATGATAATCTTACTATAGTGTAAGATCTCTTTATCTTTCTCATTTCTTTCTGATTGATTTTCTGAGTACTTGTATTCACAGCTTCTGCATAGGTTCTATTTATGCACAGATTAATGCTCCTTTTAAAATACAATCTTTTACATTAAAAAAATTAATTTTTAACCTATATATAAAACCATACAAATAATACATATTTATGGGGAATCATATGATATTTTAATATGTGTATATACTTTGTAATGTTTAAGTAAGGTAACTGTACTTATTGCCTCTTTTTAGTACATGTGTAGGAACTAACGAAATTGACCAAAAAATGAGAAGATACAGAATACAGAACCAATCTTACCTCCAAAGCTCCCAGCTGAAAGCCACTCCAGGAATTTCTAATTATGCCAGCCCATGGGCTATGCGCTGTACAGAGAGCTGCGAGGGTCAGTATTAGGGAGGTATTGTAAAGGTGGGAGGAAGTAGCATAGTTATTTTGTCCCTTTCCCAATTATACAAAGAAACAGAAAATGATAGCCCTAGCTTTGTGTTTCTGGCTCAGACAGTATTAATTAGAATATTAACCATCTACTACTTGATTGTATGAAATGTTCCTCCTTAGAAAATAACACCCAAAGAAAACAGCAGAAATTCTTCCATAGAACTCAGACGAAATTATTGGTGACCATATTTAGAACCAGAGGGACCCATTATCATAAACTATTCATAGTCGAAGAACTCTATAAAGACCTTTTCCCACTGTGGTAGCTTTTGCCGTGGCATTCAACATTCTGTCTTCCAATTGCAGATTTGCTTTCAAAAGAATAATTCATACAGTATAATATAGGATAGCAAATTCTATCAGAAAAATTCTCAGCTCTTTGAAAAGAAATCCTTAAAAATGATAAAATGATACAAGTTGTGCATTGCTGTGATTCTAACTACTTGGGAGGCTGAGGAAGGAGTACTCCTAAGTTTGAGGCTAGCCTGGACAATTTAGTAACACCCTGTCACAAAATAATAAAAAAGACTGGGAATGTAGCTCATTGCTCTCAGGGTTTAATCCCCATTACTGTCAAAAAAAAGAGAATAGGAGCCTTATAGTTTGTATGCTGTATTTCACACTGCAACTGTCTAAATTCCTAGAAATTCTTTCTTAAAATTTCTGCACTTAAAAGAAAGTATGAACTCTTTAACAAAATTAACACTTGGGGGGTGTAGAAGTCAACATAATGAAGTCAACAATAACTTCTATACAGATTAATATGACAAAGCATATATTGTCCTTTATTACTCCTTTGGGAGAGCAAATAATGTTAACAAATGTAGCCAATACAGAGATAATTTATGAGTCTGGACAAGTTTTTTTCTTTTGTTTTGTTTCCAACTTACATGTAAAATAAAGATCTGTAACATAGCCTACCATTTAAAAAAAATAATGCTACCTTTTCAGGCAACTGCCCAAAGCTCACAAAATCATGAATAAGTCAACTATAAATGAGTCCTAAAGAAATCTTGTGCATACGAGAAATTAGATAAAGTTTTCAGTTGTGTGACATGAGGGAAAGACTTACCTGGCAATATCTGGGTGTGAATCTATCAGCGTGCTGACAAATCGAAAGAACAGAGAGCCCTTCCATTTCACAAATTCTTCCTGTACAACAAAGAAAAACCAGCACATTTCAGGCTGAATGTTAATGGTAAACCTTTGAGGCATCCAGTTATGAAGACCCTGTTGACGTTCCTTGTGTAACAGCACATTTGCAGCATGGTCTGCGCAGGAGACATGAGCTGCATTTGGCAGCGTTTACTTTCCAGCCATCTTGAAAGCACAGACATGGAGGAACATGTAGGAAGAACAGCACCAAACATTCTACTGTGCTGGAAGTGACTCAAAGCACATGACTTTAACAGGACAGAGCCACTGGTGCCTCTGTAGGAACATAATGCACGAAAAGATGAGCATGTAAGACATAGAAGGGTAGATATATAACTTAGTCAAATGCCTTCTTTTTAAACATGAAATATTATTTCTTCCTCATTACAGGCCAAACATATTCTCTGAATGAATATCATATCCAATGCTCTGTAGAACCTTGTCATTCACTATTTCTTTTACACACTTTTACTCTACATGGCGTTTGGAAATGTAGAACACAGCACTGTTTGACAGGATGTCAGAAAATACCCTAAATGAGTGTTTACAAGTAAAGATGTGTTTAAAAGACTACAATGAACATCAGAAACATTCTAATGTTAGATATTCTAAACAAGAGATGGAGCTAATTATTTTTAGATTCCATTACAAAGCAAGTACATTTCCTAAGCTAATTAAATATTTTCTTAAAAATGAAGTAGTGGTGGTTGCAGGACAATCTCATTCTCATACGTACTTGCAAAAGGTTGGTAAGCAAGATGAGTGTCTGCTTCCGGATGAAGGGATCTGGGTCCTTCAGGCACATGGAGATATGGGGAATGTACTTGTCCACCATGACCGTGTACCGGATACAGAGATCGCACAGCACAATGATGACATTGTTGCGGACAGCCACGTCCTCACACAGCTCAAGCTCTCGCACCAGGGCTGGGATGCTCTTCTTTGCAAGGTCCTCATGCTGTAAAGACAGCTTACCTATCACAGAAGAAAACAAAACATTTGGATTCCATTCTACGGGTTTTATTTATAAAAAGTTAAAACAATAATCACAAACAATAAAAATGAGAAGCAGATACAACTATCCTAAATATTATAAAGTTTGAAATACCTTAAGAAAAAATAAATCTCATGAGGGGTTACATGAAGTAAAATGTCATGGAATGTTCCCTTACATTAATAAAATTATCTTTTAAATAAAGACAACATTTGTTTTGATTTGTTTTTTCTTTGATACCGGGGATGGACCTTGTGATTGTGAGGCAGGCAGCGGCACCACTGAGCCAAATCCCCGGCTCCAAGACAACATTTGAATTTTGCATGTATCTAAAAAATGACCAACAATATCTAATAGATGATTCATTTTACTTTTTTTTAGCAGCACTGGGGACTGAACCTGGAGCCTTTGCACTGAGCTAAACCTCTGGCCCTTTTTTATTTTTTTAAATGGTCTTGCTAAGTTGCCCAGATTGGGCTCAAACTTGTAATATAAAACAAACAAAACAAAAATCCAAACTTGCAATCCTCCTTCCTGCCTCAGCCTCCCAAAGTGCTGGGATTACAGGCACTGTTCCACTGGCCACCACACCGGGCTTCATTTTACTTTGATTATACATACACTCTAAATACCTTTTGAAAAATATGAAATATGAAGTAGGTAGGTAGGAAAAAATGTCACCTCATTTGTTCACATTCACAGGAGCTGCCGAGTTATATTTGTATATATTTGTTCTGTGGCCTGGGGAATGTTTTACTCTTGCAATTCTTAAAATAAGCAATGTTAGAAAAAAATTCATAACACATATCTACCATAAAGTACACAATCACACTAAAGAAAATTCAGATTATACAGACGTCAGTATTTTCATGATTAACAATTTGAGTTCATGAAGTAATGTGCTTATGGCTCCTCTATAAATTCTGTAAATATGAAATAAACCATCTCTTTTCATAAACTGAACTTCAACTTTTTTCATTCCCAGAACTCAGTGCAGTGACTGAAATACAACCCTTGATAAATGGACTTCATGGTGCTCCATCAAGTATAAAAATTACAGGAACACGGGGCTGAGAATGTGGCTCAGCTGTGGAGCTCTTACCTAGCCTGAGCAAGGCCCTGGGTTCAATACACACCACCACAAAAAAACACAAACCACCAATAATATAGGTTATAATTGTAATAAATTAACACATCTACTGAAAAATTAAAGCTCGCTATACAGTGTTCTAATCTGACAGCCCTGGGTAATCATCCATCTGAAGGCTCTCACTGTTTCTTTTCTTTAATTTTTAGTTTTATTAGTACATGTTTGCAGTCCAGTTTATAATCATCTTAGGGAGTGGTTACATGTATGTACCACAGCTTATTTCTTTTTTTAAATCCCTTTCCTCTTCCCTCCCCCTCCCTTCTTTCCTCTTTCCATTCCCTTATCCCATTTTTCATTCTTATTGATATTAACCTTAGTTCATGTTATGACATATAACACTTACATTATTTGAGGTTATTAGGTTCCTGTTCATGGCACATCTTTCTTCTACTCATTTCCTCTTCCCTCCTCCTCACCCCCTGCCATTGTTCCCTTGACCTACTTCCCTATGAAAAGAGATCCATCCCCTTGTCCCCTTCAACTCATCCTTTATTATTCTCTTTGTTTATACTTTGCTTCATTCAAATGAAATACCATATGGTATTTAAGCTTGTGGGCCTGGTTTATTTCACTCAACATTATATTTTTCAGGTGCACCCATTTTCCTACAAATGTCTCAATCTGTCATTCTTTATAGCACAGTAGTATTCCATTATATATAGATACCACATTTTCTATATCCAATCATCTATTGATGGGTAAACAGGCTCCTTCCAGAATTTAGCCACTATGAATTTTACTGCTACAAACATTGGTATGCATGTATCACTGTAGCATGATGTCTTAAGTACTTTGGGGAAGATACCTAGAAGGGTGATAGCTGGGTCATATGGAATTTCTAATTTTAGTTGCAAAATCTCCATACTGATTTTCATAATGGTTGTACCAGTTTATATTCCCACCAACAATGCTGGAGGGATTTTTTTTATTTTTATTTTTTTAACCACAGATACACCAGCATTTGTTACTGTTTCATTTCTTAGTGATTGTCATTCTTTCTGGAGTAAGATGGAATCTTAGCATTGTTTTAATTTGCATTTCTCTAATGGCCAGCGATGTGGAGCATTTTTCATTATTTGTTGGCCATTTGTATTTCTTCCTCTGTGAAGTATCTATTTGGCCATTTCTCTTGTCCATTTCTTGACTGGATCTTTAATTTTAGGTGGTTTAATTTTTTCAGTTGTGTATTCTAGGTAACAGTCCTCTGAGGAGTAGCTGGCAAGATGTTTTCCCATTCTGTAGGTTATCTCTTCACTGTACTCACTGATTCTTTTGCTGTACAGAAGCTTTATAGTCTAATATAATGCATTTGTTGTTTCTTGTGCAATTGAGGTTCTGTTTAGAAAATCTTTTCCTACACCTATGTCTTCAAGTGTTTTACCTATTTTATCTTCCAGTATGTTTAATGTTTCTGTTTGAATGTTTAGATCTTTGATCCGTTTTGATTTTAATTTAGTATATGGTAAGAGATAAGGGTCCAGTTTCAATCTTCTGCACACAGATAACCAGTTTTCCCAGCACCACTTGCTGAATAGGCTATCTTTCCTCCAACATATGCTTTTGGCGTTTTTGTCAAAGATTAAATAGCTGAATGTTTCTGGGGAAGTTTCTGTACCCTCAATTCTGTTCTATTACTCTATGTAGCAGTTTTTGTTCCAGTACCATGCCATTTTTATCACTATTGCTTTATAGTACAGCTTGAAGTCAGGTATACAATGACTCCTGCTTTGCTCTTATTGCCCAAAATTGCTTTTGTTATTCTGGGTCTCTTTTGGTTGCATATAAATGTCAGCATTGTGTTCTCTGGATCTGGGAAATATGCTGCTGGTATTCTGTTTGGGACTGCATTAAATCTGTGTAACAGTTTTGGGAGTATGGTCATTTTGGCAATATTGATTCTGCCCATCCAAGAGCAAGGCACATCTTTCCATTTTCTGATGTCCTCTTTAGTCTCCTTTTTCAGAGTACTGTATTTTTCTTTGTAGAGGTCTTTCATTTCCTTGGTTATGTTAATACCTAGATATTTCATTTTTCTTGATGCTATCACAAATGGTATTTATTATTTTTCTAATTTCCTAATTGAGTTCATTATTGGTGTAATCAAATACTATAGTTTTTTGCTATAGTTTTATAGTATTGATTTATATCCTGCTACACTGCCGAAACTGGCTATTAATTCTAAGAGTTTTTTGGTGGAATTCTTCGGGTTTTCTATGTAGAATATCATGTCATCTGCACATAATGATAATTTGAGTTCTTCCTTTCCTATATGTAACCATTTTATTTCTTTCTCTTGTCTGACTGCTCTAGCTAATGTTTTAAGTACTATGTTGAATAGAAGAGGTGATAATGGGCATCTCTGTCTTGTTCCTGATTTTAGAAGGAAAAGTTTTTAGTTTTTTCCCATTTAGTATGATGCTGGCTATTGGTTTGTCATAAATAGCCTTTATCATACGGTTCATCTGTACCTGTTTTCTTCAGGGTTTTTATCATGAAGAGGTGCTGGATTTTGTCAAAAGCCTTTCTGTGTCTATTTATATGATCAGATGGTTTTAAACCTTGCTGAAGGCTCTCACTGTGAGCATTCTATCATGCTGGCAGAATTGGGTACCCATATCAGAAACCCAAAGAAAGTAGGCACAAACTCAGCAGCCTACAACACTACCAGGGCTGGACTTATTTAAGATAAATGTGACCCACAGAAGCTGACCTCAGGCTCATTTCCTCACACATTCTTCTTACCTAAGGTGATAATGGCATGCGCTCTAATCACAGAAGGCATGACAAAACTTCTGACCTTGGAGGGCAGCTGAGTGGTTGGGGCTTCTCCAGAACCTTGAGACGGCAGCACTATAGGGAAGGGAACAGATTTAGCGACAGAGCCTCAAGGGTTACTTGGCTTTAAGACCACACAGTACAGAGACTGACTTCAAGTGCCTTACAGTGATCTGCGTCAGCAGAAGAAGCCAGAATGGACTGAATCAGAAGGAAGACTTGCTTCTCCACTCTGGCTGGACAAAGCTGTGCAACATCTCCCAGGGTAAAAATGTACTTAACCTACAAAGAGAACAGGCTTACAATAAGAATAAGGCAAAATGGAAACCCCACCTAGTATTACATTTCAATGGAATAATTTTTTTTGTCTCCCAAAGTACAAAGACTTAACTATTTTTTGTTTCAGAAAAATACATGGCCATTATGAAAACTCAGTTGCTACTTTATGAAACGCACCTGAAGTTAGGGTAACTATATACTTTTCTAATTGAAATCCAGACACTTCTGTGAACAAATGGGTACTATTAATAATTATGTTGTGATAACAAGTATAAACCTGGATAATCTTGGGTAAACTGTAGTGTAGAATCATTTACCTGTAATCCCGGAAAGATACCATTATTTTTGTGTATAACTTTCATTTTAAAGTATTTTTATAATCATGGGGCTTTATCTTTCTTTTTAAAAAATATACACTTACCAATCGGCTACTCTGAAGTCTGTGTTACTTTGAAGTTTTTTAATTTCTTTGAATATTAAGTATCTTTTCATGTTAATATATACAACAATATGTTCAATGACTACAAAAGTATGCCATTTAAAAACAATAAATGTCATAATTTTTCTCATTACTCCACAATCAGTGAACGTTTATATTATTTTTAACCCTTTGGTATTGCTTACATCAGTTCTGGTGAATACCTCTGTACTGTTGGAACTATTCTACTTCCTTAGACCCGAATTCAGGGTTAAAAAGCACGTAAAACTACTATATATTTTAAAACATAATTCCAAACTGTCCTCCAGGTTAGTTTATTACCTAGATTCCTAACCAAAACATACACAAGGACCTGCTTTCTCACATCTACCACTATGAAGTTTGAGACCAGCCTGAGAAAGACCCTGTCTCAAAAACAGAAAAAAAAAAAGAAAACCAAAAAATATTTCTCTGGAGTTGAAAAGTCAATAATAAATACATTTGGGTTTAGAAAAACTTGAACATAGGTTATTTCTTAATGGATTATAGCATGAGCTAAATAATACACATAGGGCAAAACTTCTCCACATGTTTTGACTGAAGGGTAGATTCTGGTGATATATTTAATAGTGAAACAAAAAAAAAAATCTTAGAAAGATTTACACATCACAATAAGCATTTTTCTTAGTGCGGCCAGTAACTTCCCAAACAAATAGAAAAGATATTCTCTATCAAACTCTGGGCCTAGTCTGAACTATATACCATGGCCCTCATACCTAAAGTGTACAGATCCTCATAAAAATACCATGAATTACTGAACACCAGCATAGCAGTGCCTCAGGCACAATGGTCTTCTCTTTTACAAATCTAAACTTGGTCTGTAATCACTAACAACTATAAAAGCTAAGCTGGCAGAGCAGAAACTAACACAGAAAAGTAGTGCTCAACTAATTTAAACAGAGGAGAAAAATGGCCACTGTTGGTTAAACGATGGCCTATCCTGAAGGGTATCAAAAAGTAGCTCATTATTTCTTTTACTGGGCAGTGTCAGATGCTGTAATAGGACCACCATAATATACTTATCAACAGCCCACTGGTTTGACTTGTTCTGACTCAAGGGATCTCTTACACCAAAATTATTTCTAACATAGGGGTGCCACGTAAGACAATCTTCCCCTATCAGGACATTTGTGTCTTGAATTGTCAAATCTGTCCTTTTACTTTAGATATTATAACTATTTAGCCCTATGCCCCAGTTCTGTAGTTCAATGTATAAACAGTTCAGAAGACATGCTATACTAATTTTAAAATTCAAACAAACCAAAAGGCCAAGGATCACACTCTATTATTTCCTTACATTATTATTTCTACACTTGACTCTAATAAGCTCACAAACCACATTATTTTCCCTACTGGAATCAGGTTTTTCATAATATCTAATTAGATGAAGAGTTCCATCAAGTTTGCCCCCAGATAATAAGTAGGTAAATCAAAAATGAATGGGTTATTAATTTTAAAAATTCCTCTAAAAAGTAAATGAGCTCTAGGCTACCAGAGCCCTTCTCTTGTTAACAGGATTTGAAGTGCACATAACAATATCATCTTTATCTTAAAAAATCCCCATTGATATAAAAGAGGAAAGAAAGAAGCAGCTTCTTACCAACAGGTCTTCATCCATATTCCCTGCCCCATCCTCCTTCAGAATGATATTGGAGAGGTGGTGCTGGCAGGTGGATAGCACATCCCCACATACCTGCTTTAGCAGTTCCTGCAGCAAGTAACAGATTGGCTCTGAAGGGACTACATCTCCCAGGCAACCCACCAAACCCATGTTCTCAGAACTTCTAGGATCTTCAAATTCAAGAAAAACCCCAGCCATCATGCTTGTCCAAAACCAATATGACAGACTTAGCAAGCTGGCCATGAGAACTGGCTAGGTGGAATTTTCAGAGAAGAGTGTATATGTCATCTTTCTTTCTACATTTGCCCTACTAAAGCAAAAGGCAAATATTCAGGAGGATCTAATGCCCTAATTTATAAGGTATGTGGAATAGCAGTGCCTCTAACAACAGAGAAAAAAGTTACATATGTAGGTAGTAAATTAACTACTGTGATAAACATTTTCCTTTAAAAATACAGCAATAAAATGGATTGTTATCATTCCTAAATTTATTCCTTAGGGGCAAGTTTTCAGTGTCTCTTACTGGTCACGATAAATTCCAGGGGCCACTCCCAGTGCACACCCAATGCACCTCCGTGCCAAGACAGCCTCCCAACCACGTTCCAGAACTCCTGGGCTTCATTCATGCTGCCCTGGAGGCTGTCCCAAGTACCCAGGCTGAGCAAAGCACCTGCACCTCTGCACTTCCTCATCACCTCAAGCACACTTTTCATTTAGGGACACCTGTATCCCACTGACATTATCTGTTCATGTGTTTGTTTCCCCACAACACTGAAGGTATCTTAGGAAGACTGCTAACTATCACCCAGTGCCTAGCAGCACTGCTACAACATAGTACCCAAACAGCGTTTGCTGAACTGTGGTAAAATTACTACTCTAAACAAAATGTTTTTCAGTCTGACTTGGCCTAAAATTTTCCACAACTGTTGTTTTTATTACTTTTAAAGAACAACTGCATCAAGACTAAGAGAATACAAAAGATGAATCACAACACTGGCCAAGAGAGCATCTGAAACCCACAGCCTTTCTTTTGATAAGGAGAAAAAGGTTAACATGTAAGACTGCAAGATAACAACTTGAGTGGTTTGAGAGTTAGCTCTGAGGATCACAGAACCTGGACAGCCGGTGAGGCCATCACTCCTGGGACTGTCTCCATCAGGCAGGGCTCAGTTCAGTTTCTGCCCAAGTTCTTATGAACAACTGCAGTGACTCAGGGCACGTTCTGAGGTAACCCCCTTCATTTTAAGTAGACTTCCATGTCTTTCTTCCACAGCTGGCCAAAATTTGGCTCCTTATAATTTCTACCCATCAGTCCAGACAAGTCCTCTGGGTATAGCAAATAAATCAAATCCTTTTGTTTAAAAGTTCTTCATATATTTGATTTTAGCTAAGCAGCCTGTCTCAAATAGAGTAATTCTTCTCTTCTCCATACTAAACCTCCATGGAGGCCTTCAACTGATCCTTAACTTACTGCAACCCTGTTGGGAGCAATGCCACATAATTTTGGGGAAAAAAAAAAAATCATTTCATTAGGCCTAGTTCTCCTGCCTACAGGCCAGCTATGGCATTTTGGTTTCCGGTCACAACTGAGACCTCAATGATCCGGTGATGCTGTAATGCTCCAGGACAAGATTACAGCAGAAGACATCCTGGGAGGAACAAAATTTTCACCTACTCAGTTCCTCACTGTTCTTGGATTTCAGCTGCCCCTAGTCATTTGTTACACTTTGTTTATCCAGATATACTGAACTCTCTGCAAGTCATTTGTTACATCTGTTTCTCCTGATGTACTGAATAAAAGGTGCGGCAAGCTGGGGGCTTTTGTCTTTGCCACCCAGAGCAGCACTGATCAGGCCCAAAGCTCAGCTTCTTCTCAGTCTCATTTTTTCTACCTTTCCTGTATAATAAGTTAATTCACCTTGTGCTGTCATGGCTCTCAGGAGACTAGGACTCACTGCAGAGGATCTAGTAACATCCCCTTTCCCTGTTCCCTATATAGCCCCTCATCTAATTGTTCTTATCTAGATAAATTCCATTTTATCAATACTTCTCCAAAAGGTTGTCACTGAACTTGAATTATATATCACATAATAAAATTACTACAGTGAATGTTTAAACTTTAAAAACATTTATTACAGTAAAAGACACATCACTAATCCCCCTCAAAATACTACCTACCCCTCACTTTGAACACACTGATCTCATTATTTTTGCCACATTCTGAAGCAGTTCTGCAAGTCCTCTTTTGTGTCATTATGAGGTATGATTAAAAAAAAAAAAAAAGAGTATAGTAAATGCTGCTGCTGAGTGCCATCCAATGGAAAGGCAATCTAATAGGATTACACTGTGTTCTCATCAACCTTATTCACTGGGCCTGGCAACTCGCAACTTCTGGCTCTTCCCCAAAGTCAGAGTGACCATGAAAGGTAAACATTTTCAATCAATTCAGGACGTTGAGGCTATGACAGTGCAAATAATAACAGTCAAGAAAAAGACTTTTAGAACTGCTTCAGAAGCTGGCAAGAATGATGGGCTATGTCTGTCTGAAGTGAGGGGGAGGATTTTCAGGGGGATTAATGGCCAATGTATCTTTAACTATATTCAATTTTTTAAAATGCACAGCATTATTCAAACCACGTTTCATAGAACACGTCAACTTAGATTTAACCAAGACAAAGCACAGGACCATCACCCTTCTTATTCTAGACACAATTCTATTAATATAGGGCAAGATCTCATTGAGATTTTAATGACAGCCACAAAAAGACCACAAATTCAAGCCAAGAAAGAGCTAAGTCTTTTTATATACACTGCTGTTGAGCTGTATCTTGATCATCTATTCTTTAGATAATTACTCATTTTTAGTAAAATAAAAAATGCTTATTTGAAAAAAGAAGACAGTTTAGGGGAAACAAATGAGTCACATGGATTCAAAATACCCTATGGTTCTGAAAATTACGGGGCCTTATTCCACTGTCTACTAACAAAGGAGGTGGTATTGGCAGAAGAAAAACTGGCCATTTTTCTAACATAGTTTTGTGTTATTCCTTTCCTAACTCTCAGTTTCTAAATCTGAAGGCAAGTTTTTGTCTTCCTCACAAGACTCTAATACAATATAACCTACTGTGCTAATGACTATTGGCCACTGGTAGGCAGCAAATGACTTACAGCCCTGACAGTCCACCATATATATAATTCTTTCTCCAGCCCATCCTAGTGAAAAGAATCCTGGGAAGGTTCAGAGATCTTTGTTCCACTCCTGCCTCTGCCATCAATTGGAAAGTTGTGTGCCACTGATCCTTGTAGGATTAGTTTCAAAATCTGCCACAAATTTTCCTTACATAAGAAAAAACTTACATTGCTGTTTTAGATCTATTATTTTAAATGGAAAATAGAATATATAGAGGAAGGTCTTTCTTAAGGAAATACTGAAGAATAAAAGCATAAAAAATTACCTAGGTAACTACATAACCTTTGTTTTTTAATTCTAGAAAACTTAAAATACATTATAACAATTATTTAAATTAATTTATGATTTCTGTAATCATTATTATAGGCCCACAGCTCTAAATTTTTTTTGTTATGAATAGCACTATCTAAGAATATATCTCATGATAAAAATAGAAGACACAGTGATAAAATGATTCATTGAAAGTACCGACACGGAAAGAAGGGAAAGGAATAAATATGAGAAAAGAAAAAAAATGGAAACAAAGTCTTTGTAAATAGGGAGGGGTTGAAAGGAGGGCAGGGGAATGGGGAAAAAAATAAGAACCAATATATATCATATAAAGGTACAAATTCCCAATGATGAATGTCATCATATTGCATAACTAAAATGTACCAATAAACAATGAATTAAAAAAAAAAAAGAGGTACCGACATGGATACGTGACTATAAAACTGTTAGCCATAGGCTATGGGCCACTTTGTGTATATGATACCACCGAGAGATTTGAGCAGTGTAAGCTCACATAACAGGACAGGCATTTTCCAGATTATGACTTATCAAAGTGTTAAAAACCTTCTGAACTGAAGAGAAATGCCTGATTAGGTGAAAAATTATTTATTAAATGTTCTTGGAATGAGGGACTAGGCTACAAAGATACCTTTCAGAATTCTCACCAGGAGATAAATGTCAGCCAACAGGTACACCTTGTTAAATGACACTTGTACCTGGAGCCAAGGGTAGGTTATCTAAGGACATCTAGGTCAGTAGCAGTCAGATCTTAGGGTATACGATCTGCTAGACACATAAGCACTGCCTTGTTGTAGCAACAGCTACTGGCAACTAATGGAGACCACCCTAAACGAGCTACAAATTTATAAATTGGTTTCATATTAAAAGTCTGAGTCTACCTTTTAGCTCACAATGGCTCGCCTGAAGAGCCAGCAGTTGGTGTGTGAGAACAGAACAACTCCCCACACCACTGGTCACAGCGGAGATCTCAATGATCCGTGATGCTGTGACGTCTTGGATGGCAAGACAATAGTGCACCTGAGGGCAACATGACTCGTACACAAAACTTCTATAGAACCCAAAATTAATCTATGGGGAAAAATAAATTTCCCATTAATTAATTAATGATCTGTTCCTGCTAGAAGGACATGTTCCCCCGTTGCTAGGAACCTGACTGCGTCAGTGCTATCCACTCCACTGTTCCCTGCACTGCCCTTTACCCCTTCAAGGAGCTGTGTGTTTAATAAACAGTGGTAAGCTCCAGGAGACAGCATCTTAGCCTGATAAGAGCTCTGACCATCCTGGGCCCCCTTTATGCAGTAAAGATCTTGTTTTGTCTGCTGTTATCCTGCGTCAGACCCTTGGTCAGGCGGAGGTCTGATCAGCTTCCAGAAGGAGACTACACATCCTTACACCCCTCCCACTTCACAGCAAGGTAACATGCCCAAGTACAAATACAAGTACAAATAAGTTAGAAACACTGGGGGAACGTGTGTGGCCATACCTGTTCTTCCATCGCTGTCTTTGCGGATGCTCTACAAAGACTTTGCAAAGTATCAACAGCTGAAGTGATCAACTCTAGAGACCACTGAAATCCATTCAGCTTATACTTGATAACATCTAAGAAGGAAGTCAAAACCTTGTACTTTATATATATACACATAAATATATATGTATACACACGCATACATGTATATGTATACACACACATTGCAGCAAATGACTTTTTCAGAAACATTCAATAAACACTCACCTGTCACCCTGTCCCGAGTGCTCTCAGGAAGATGCTTTGCAATATGCCCAATAACACACAGTATATGTCCTAAGGTGTTTGAATTGGGATTCTGCTGACTAAAGAGAGGGCAGGAGAAATGCCAAGACAGAATCAAATTAAACATTGTACTACAGCAAAGTGCCTTTTCTTCTAGATTGTTAATACTGGAGGGAAGTGGGTAGGCAGAATGATTTCAGTGTCATGCTGTAAGAACATTAAGGGACTTAACAGACAAACGGTAAACTGACCATGCTTAAAAGTGATTCTTATTTTTCATGTTTTTTATACCAGACTTTCAATAAAGTACACAGCTATGAAATAGTCCTCCTCCTTAAGATATGAGCTTTGTTTCCAACCTTTAGTGTCCACCAATGGGCTGTTATAATCATGCGAACCTGCTGATTTTCTCCCAGGACCACATGATTTTGGTGTAGTCCAGCTTGGGTGAGGAGCCAGCAATCTTGGAGAGCAGCATCCAGGCGGGTGCAGAATGTTCTGTGCCAGTGTGAGATAGCATATTGTTTATAAAAGTGGATGAGAATTTATCTTTCTTGGACCAGATATGAAAAGCCTTATTTAAATAGCGGCTGGAAAAAAAGATGGGAAAGCAGAACTGTAACTATAAATATACAAAACTGTTCAAATCAGCCCCTTGCTGAAAGAGTATCAACTTTTGCTGCACCACGATTTCTCTGATACAAAAACATGCACTCACAAGGCCTGATACCAAACTAGGTGTCTTCAGTAAGTAGTATTTATTTTCCCCTTACAAAATACTTATTTTTTAATGTAAAAAACAAAATTTCTTAATTCATTTGAGAACCTTCTTACCTTTATCCCCTCCAAAATTTCCACACAAGTATATGGGATAGGTTAGCATAACATACGCCCAGAGCTCACAGGGTTACAGTGACAAAAAAATAGAAACATTGTCCTTTTTTGAGTCACAGGATTAGGGAGAAATGACATCTTAGCATTTAAACACGGTGAAAGTAAATGAGCTAATATTTTCTATATCCTATTTCTTTTTCTTTTTTGGTACTGGGGATTGAACTCAGGACCTTATTCTTGCAAGGCACGCATGGATGCACTGAGCCAAATCCCCAGCCCCTGCTATATCCTATTAATTCTACTCAGGTACAGATTTTCAAACCTAGAATAAAAATTTTAAAACACTTCTGATACGTACTAAACTGTTTTTAAAACTATTTGATTTTCTTTTCAAAGCAATGAATTAAATCTATAAATAATGAGACAATGCCATGTTACATATCAAAAAGAGAAAAATACACTCTTCCACAATTAATTTTTCTTACACTGTTAGGAACACACACACACACACACACCCATGAACACGCAGGGTTTCTTATTAAGTTTTTTTAAGAAAGAAAATTTTCAAAGCATGCAGAAAAATTGTAAGAAAATGAATGTATCTGTTATCCTAGTAAGCACATGTACATAAATGGTATTATTAAATTAGTGATTAAAAATCTATCTATATGTCAAATTTTACCATAATTAGATCACAACATGATTTGTACCTGACTTATGTCCAAATACAAGAAAATGCAATAAACATTTTAAAATTTATTTTCAGAGAACCAGATAAAATATTGAGATTTACTACAAGAAGACAATAGAATGGGCAAAAAATTGCTCTGGAATTCTAGTTTTAAGTCTCAAGTTTGGCTCCTCTCTCACAACTCACACTCCTCCACCTACCAAGCAGACCCCAGCCAGCCTTTCGCCCCATCCCTCAGTCAGCCCACTGCCGATCACAACTGTTCTCCACCTTGGCAGAATGAACTCCAAGAAACAGTACCCAAGTCTCCACTCTCCTAGTATCAAAGCTACAGCAAGAGCCAGTCCTTAGCCTGTTTTATTTGGCCTCTACTAGAGGTCTACTAGTCATCATTCTAAGATGGTCCACTTGCTGTTTCTCTTCCATTTCCCTTCTCTAATCCTCTTTCTAATCACTCCCCACCATGTTGGGGTGTGGGGATTGAACCCAGAGCCTTCTATATAAGCCAGATCTCCAGCTTCTGATCGCTTTAAATGCTGATTTTGAAAAGCTCTACTTTTCATTCTTTTATCTACAAACTGACTCTGGGTGATCTCATTCAATACAGAGCTCCCCACTCACAGGTGACCATGTATTCCAAACTGGACTTCCATCTCCAGGCCTATGTGCATTCCTCACCTGCCTGACTTTTGCCTTCCATATCTCAGTCAGTGGCAAATTAAAGAGTAATTTTTCTTAGACTCTGTGGAGTATTCAGGCCTCTAAGCCTTTGTATGCTATTTTCTGCCTCAATATTTTCACTATTATGGCTGCCTGGCTGATTCCTCCAATATTCTTCAGCTCATGCTACTTCGGGAAGCCATTTACTATGGTTTAGATATAATCTGTTTGTGTGCTCCAAGGTTTGTGTGCAGAAGTGCGGTCCCAGTGTGGCAGAGTTGAGGGTGTAGAACCTCTAGATGAAGCTAGTGGAAGGTAATGAGGTCATGGGCACCGCCCTTCAGAAGGGCCTCTTAGAGTTAGTTCTCATGACTAAGCCTGACTCTGGAATTCTCTGGCTTCCTATCCCCACAATGTGATCTTTCCTATGCCTGGCTCTGCCATAATGATACCACCCACTAGGAGGCCCTCACCAGAGGCTGAACTAACTGGGCAAACTGATCTTGGAGTAAGAGCTTCCAAAACCATGAGTTAAATAAACCTCATTTCTTCACAAGGTATCCTGCCTCAAGTATTTTCTTATGGGAAGAGAAAATGGACTAGGACATCATCCTAATGAAGAGAAAGGAGGGAGAGAAGAAAAGCAAAGAGAAATAATAGTCACCAAATGCTACCTGCTCTTCCTCCATGAGTGTAACTTTCTATTTTATTGTATCAAAATTTCTACTAGACTGAAAGCAAACTGAGTAGAACAAGTGTCCAAATGCTGCAATCTCCAACAAAAAATGAAGTACTCCAACTATAATTATTTATAGCTCCTCTTTCATTTCTTTCACCTCAAGCTCAATCTTCACCGATTCTACTCCTCCCCCTTGTCAGGCAGCTCTGAAGGTGCCTCCCTTTCTCCATTTCCACCATCTCCACCTTAATTCAGGCCCTCATTATCTCTGACTTCAATTACTGTAACAGTAGCCCATGTTCTCAGACTCCAGTTCTGTCGTCTTGGTTACCAACATAAGCCCATTCTCTGGACTCCTAAAATAAAAAATCTGGAATTGTTCCTTTAAGTCGATCAGCAGCCTCCCCCGGCATCCCGCTTTTAATAATTGAACTTGCTGGCATGCTGCTCTGTATTTCTGCACCTTCGTCTGGGGCCCAGCCACACAGGCAGTGTCACACCAGCCTAGGATGCCATGCAGTGCTGACACAGGGCATGTTACCGTATCCATCTGGGTCTATTTTCTCCATGAGTTGTTCTGCTCCTTATAGCTCTGAAGATTCAATTCAAAGGTCACCTATTCTGTGAAGTTCTCCCCAGGAACATTTCTTGATATTCTAATAATACCTTTTTATAGAGCTTAACATTCTGTCTTCAAATGTTTACTGAACTCTTTATTCTACTAACATCACTGCTCTCAACAGTATTTTTGCTCTTTAAAACCAACTTCTTACTTCAGTGGTTCTCACATATTTTTCATATCAGGTCTCCTTTAAACTCTTTTTTCTTTCTTTTGGGTTTTTTTCTTTTTTGGTAGTGCTGGGCCTTGAGCATGCTATGCAAGCATTCTACCACAGAGCTATATCCTTAACCCAGGACCCATTAAATTTTTCAAAATTACTGACCATACCAATGAACTTTTGATTTTGTGGATTATATCTACCAATGTTTGCTATGTTTGAAATTTAAATCAAGGAATACTTGATTTAAAAATACTTATCATTTAATTCATTAAAAATAACAATAATTATATTTTAACATAAATAACAGTTATACCAAAAATCAGTCTTTTCCCCAACAAACTCTGTAAGAAGAGTGTTGTATACTGTTGTATACCTTCATAGATCTCTAAGGTCTAGAAGAATCAGGAGATGGAGTATTCTCATATCTGCTCCTGTACTCAGTGTCTTCCAGTATAGCTTTTGGAAAATTCCAGGGTACTATCATGAAAGAATGTGAATGAAAAGTGACTAATCATATCTTAATATTATGATTAAAGAGTCAGATTCCATTAAGTCCTTTTTTTGGGGGGGACCAGGGATTGAAATTGGAACCTTGCACTTGCAAGGCAGGCAGCGGAACAACTGACCTAAATCCCTGGCCCTATAAGCCCTTTATACCAGCACTACTGCCCTAGCCTATGCCTTTCAGTGGCTCTTCCAAGTCTTCTTTACACTTCAGGTCCCCACTTTACCTTACCCTTCCTGACTTTGCGCAAGTGATCCTAATGGCTACTTTAATGAGGAAAGAAAAACTAGCAAGCTCTAGTTTTTAATTTAATTCTTCTGTGGTTTTCCAACTCACCTTTGAGTCCTTGTATCTTTGACATTCCCTTAACCTAGTTTATAAACATACTATTCTTTTCCAGAAGCTTTCTTCATTAAATAATACCCATCTTTCATTCACCCACTGGTATTTACTCTAATTGAAAGTGGAAACAAAAAAAGACCTATGGAGGATGCTATGACACTTCTAAAATGTAAGGTGCACCTTAATTCCAGATGTTAAAATGTGTTACAGGTTGATGAAATACAGTAAGTCGGGCCAGGGGAGGAAAGTAGGAATCCCATAAGGAAGTATAGGAAATCTCAAAGGACGAGTAAGCGCACACAAGGCAGGGAAGGCTGAAAGGGCACTTTATGGAGAGAGTAGGCCATGCTCAGGGCATGAGTGTGCAAGAGGCTGGAAGGGTGTGGGGAGCAGGCTGCAGCTGCTGGGCACACAACTCACACAGCGAAATGTGAGGCAAAGCTGAGGGACAGACTTGACAGTGAGAATCTTACAAAGCTTCCTGAAGTCATTATGGCGGAGAAAGGTCACTGGGCAGAGGGATGTTGGACAGGGCTGAGGACAGCCTGGGAGCTGGGGGGTGGGGGCAGGGAGAAAGTGACACATTTCCAGGATGGAAAAGGCTAAGTTATGTTTTATCTTGAGATGTATACTGCTAGGCTTTGATAATTTACTCTAACCAAGTAAGTAAAAATGTCCATTTCCTCAAATTCTCAACAATACTTGGTTAAGAGTATCAAATGTTGTCTCCCATTTTGTCAAACTAAAATTTGTTTTAATTTGAACTCCTTTGGCTGTTAGAGAAGTTTAGCATCAAATTCAGTATCTATTTTTGTTTACTGTTCATTTGTTTCAGTTTTTACAAACTGCTTTTTTATGTAATCTGTTTTTTTATCAAGGAGTTCATCTTTTCCTTACTAATTTATAAAAGGACAATACAACATGTGACCAAAAATACAGTGAATGTTTAAGTTTTTAAAAAATGTATTACAGTCAGGATGTAGCTCAGTGGCACCACATCTGCCTGGCAAGCACAAGATCCTGAGTTTGATTCCCAGTACCAGAAAAAAGTACTATAATAAGACACATCCCATTAATTCCCATCAAAATACTCCCCCATGCTTCAAACATATTTATCTCATCAATCTTCTTACTTTCTGAAGCAGTTCTAAAAGTCCTTTTCCACTTCACTGTCATGGCTGCCTTGACATCCTGAATTGATTCAAAATATTTACTTCCGTGGTTATTTGGACCATGGGGAAGAGCCGGAAGTCACGTGGTGCCAGACCCAGTGAGTAAGGTGGAGTACACTATATTGGTTTATGAATCTGCCTTTCCACTGTATGATGCTTGGCAGCAGCACTACTTATTTTGATCATACCTAGTAGACACTCGTGAAAGAGGAATGGCAGAACTGCTTCAGAAAGTGGCAAGAACAATGGGATAAGTGTTTACAAAGCAAGAGGGGCTTATCCTGAAAAGGATTAATGGCAATGTGTCCTTTACTATAATAAATATTTAAAAATTTAAACATTTCCCATATATTTTCTACTTCATAAATATAGGACATTACTCTTTATCATGTTATAGTTTTTCCAATTTGTCTTTTGTGTTGTAATTTTTAATGTTGCCTTTGTCTTTTTGGGTGGTGTGGGGGGGTCCTTCTATAACATAATACCTGAGACTGAAAAATTTATACAGAACAGGAATGGACCACTCACAGTTCCAGAGGCCAGGAAATCTAAGGTTAAGGCACCAGCATGTCAGATGTCCACATGAGGCTGCTCTGTGCTTCCAAAGTACTGCCCTGCATGCTGGATTCTCTAGAGAGGGGGAGCACGGGATACTCACTGGCAGATCAGGTAAGAGAGAGCCCACTCATGAATGCCCTTATATCATGACACTAATTCATTCACAAAGGTGGAGCCCTTGTGGTCTAACCACCCTACTTCCTGATACTGTTAAAATAGCCATTAAATTTCAACACAAGCTTTGGAGGGGACAAATATTAAACCACAACAGGTGTTGACAATCATCATTCAAACAAGCAGTCAACTAAAGCACTACAATGTGCCAAGTAATGTGTTTGCTTAGGCTTTTCTTTGAAAAGAAAACATAACCTTTTCTCTTTAAAAGCATGTTGTGCCAGGTGTGGGGGCACATGTCTGTAAACTCGGTCCTCAGGAGACTAAGGCAACTTGCCACAAGATCAAGGCCAGCCTGGACTACCATCTCAAAAAAAGAAAAAAAAAACAACCATCTTGTGGCTGAATTACGTTCCTAAGCCAGATAATATTAGGATGTGACTATATTTTCAGACAGAGCCTATAATGAAGTGATGAAATTAAAATGAAGGGTCTGGGTGGGCCCCAATCCAATTGACAGGTGTAATGATCAGAAGAAATGTGGGCGCACAGAGACATAGGCATGTATACACAGATGGCGGCAGCCATCTTGGTCACGCAGAGGTGTTGAGAAAATGAGGCCGCCAGGGCCTCAATCTCAGACTTCCAACCTCCAGAACAGTGAGAAAATACATAACACAAGATATTATATCAATTAAAGCTTTATATTTTAAAAAAATTTACAGAGAACGGTGCCCCTCTTATGTAAAAGAATTACTATATTCTGCACATTTTACAAATCTGTAACATGCCTACAGTTATACCATCCATTTCATGGATAATACTGGCCATCTGCGCCTTCTCTTTTCTTTTGGCAAATCTCGGTTAAACTTTGTCTTTCCTATTATGGTTTCTGAAGACTAAGTCTTTCCCTTTTATCCAGTTTAGTAATATCTATGTTTAACTCTAGAAATGAAAACTGCAATAAGAATAACTCAGTAAATGGATTTAACAGTGAGTTACATATAAACAAAGAAAGTCTAAGGGCTGGGGATGTAGTTCAGTGGCAGAGTGCTTGCCTTGCATGTATGAAGCCCTGGTTATAATTCTCAGTACTACAAGAGGAAAGAGGGAGAGAAGGAGAGAGGGAGGGAGGAGATAGGAAGAAGGAGAGGGAGAATGGAAAAAAAGGAGGAAAGAAAGGAAAGGAAAAGAAAGAAAAGAAAAGCAGGCAAGAATAAATAAAATAACACTGAAAAATTATGCAGGGGTAGAAGAGCACAAGACTTATTCTACTGGAGAGAGCCTAAAAAGCCACAATAATTAAATCTGTGATACAACCCAAAAGAGGAACAAATACGTAAACAGTAAAAAAAATAGAGAATTCCGGACTTGAATTATGAACATTTTGTCATAATGCAAAGGAGTGAATAAAGGATACTGCAAAGCAGTGAAGAAAGGATGATCTTTTTAATTAGCATTGCTAGATTAATTGGGTCTTTATTTAGAAAAACATCAAATTTGATCTCTAACTAGTATAGCGCCCAAAAGTCAAAGGCAGAGAAGTTAACAGTGAAAAGGAAAAACAAATTTCTAGATTATGTAGAATATTTACATGATCCTGAGGTTAAAAAAATTTTTTTTCTTAAAATATATTAACCATAAAGAAAACCACTGACAAACTGACCTTATCAAAAGACACCATTAAGGGTTCATCCCCCAAATAGCAAAAAAACAAAAATAAAAACAAATTTAGAGGTTTGACAAAGCTTGTGCTTAGCAATGTGTGAGGGGGCCTTAATTCCCACCACCAAAAACAAAACAAAAAAATAAAAGGGTAAAGAAAAATTCAGGACAAGGGCGATGAAGAGATAATTCACAAATGTGAATATCTAAATGCTAATCCACATACAAAAAATTGTTCGTTCTCACTAGTCAACTTGGAATATAATTTAAAGCCACAAAGAAATAACACTATGCATTTGGCAAACTGGCTAAAAAAAGACAATACAAAATATTGGCCAAGATATGGAGCAACTGGAACTCTCATACTGCTAGTGAGAAAGCAAATTGCTATGACCACTTGAGAAATCATCTAGCAGTATTTATTCAGGTGAATAAAAACATACTCAACAATGCTCTCTTAGGTATACATCCAACAGATGTGCTACATGTTATATACATGAACATGTATAAGCACATAAATAACAGTAAAAAACTGGAAGCAACCTGGTTATCTACGGACGTTAGAATGGACTGGTTTAGTCATATCATGCCCATGTGTGTGGATGTACAGCAATGAATGGGCTACAGCTGGATATACCATAACCTGAACACATCTCACATTACGCCTGGTAAAATCAGCCATGACTCACAAAAGCATACATACCACAAAATTTCATTTATATAAAGGTCAATTAAAAAAAATAGTTGGAAGAATACAGGAAAGCAGTATGGAATGCTAAAATGATAGGAGTACCTATAGGTGAGGGAAGGGAAGGCTGCTGACTGGGATGGTATGAGGATACTTCCTGGCCCCAGCTATGTTCTGTCTTGTTGTTAAGCCAGGTGGTGATTACATGGATATGTTTTTTAGTAGTATTTATTAACTTTATGGTTTGCTCACTTTTCTAAGCATAATACACTTTAATATAGAAGTTTAAAAAAGAAAAAGAAACTTCCCAACAGTTCTCATGAGCTACTACAGCCTTCTACTTTTTGTGAAAAATGGCTCCTACCTTTTGTCACTTTATCATGAAGCTTTTTTAATATGTTGAGTGTGGATAATGTGGTATCCCTACAAAATAGTCAATTCTGTTGCTGGTGAAATCCTTTCTAAGAACCTCAGCAAACATACAGTTGATACAGAGAACGTATTTATTGAGTAAATGCATCTTCAGCCAGAGTTTTAATACCAAAGGGATCTTATAAGATCACATAATCCATCTGGCTGCTCTTGCAAATGAGGAAACTATGGCCCAGGGTAAAGTAATTTGCCAACACCCTCAAGTGGTATTTTATAACACTAAATCTATTTCTCTTTCTATTGTATAATTCTTTCAGAACTATATGTAAAAAGTAGAGAAATTTCTCCTGTAGTATGACAAAAGAAACGTAAGAAAAAGAAAAAAGTGGCCAAGATAGCTCAAACATTCACTATACGCAGTATACATTAAATGTTATCAAATCCAGCAATCCAATAAAATATTACAAAAAGTTTTAATTTGCACAAACAAGGAAGTTATCTTTCACAATAACCAGCACTGGGGAAAGGGAATTCTGATCTGTCCTATCCATCAGTGTTTTGTAGTATGTATTAGGATACCAGCCTACAACTGGAAAGCAGTCAGAGGGAAGCAATGGAAGTGACCAAAGGTGTCATAAAAACAGTCACCACAAACATGCTAAGAGATATGAAGTAGGTCAAAAGAAGAAGAGACCAAGACCAAGCCTTCACATATACTATGTAATTTCAAAAGGTGATTTTTAAAGATCAATGAAAAAGTTTATTATAAAGTGGCCTTTATAGGAAACAAGTCGTACGGCTGACATACCTCAGTTCCTGGCCTTCTGTAGTGAGGAGGGCGAGGAGAGACCAGGCAAGCACCTGGCTGTCATCCTCTATATGAAATTTACTGTGATGCTTGATGTTCTGCAGCAACAGCTGGTCCAAGTACTCTAGCGCCTTCTCCTGCACTGTGCTCTCGCAGTCCATCACCACGGGGATGACCCCCGACAGCCAGGCCTTCTGAATCAGCACACATCTGGGCTGGGCCTGCAGATTGGGAGATTATGATGTCAAAGGTCTGAACACAGTCTAAATACAAAAAAGTCCAAAAACCAGTCAGTGAAGTAGTTAGGAACACTTTTAGAGATATGTTAAAATTATCACACTTATATGGCTAGAGGACTTTGCTTGCCTGAAGCCTTGGGTGTGATCCCTAACACATCACTATCAATCAAAAAACAGAGAAAAAAAAAAAACCTATGAACTACGAATGCAAACAGAATATAACATGAAAAAAGATTAATATCCAAAAAATACAAAAACCAAGTCAACCTCTAGGTTATCATACATCTGTGCATATTCAAATCTTAAACTTTTACATAAAACATTATTTCATTATTATAAAAATGTAAAGCAGTAGATTTTTGGTCATTCAAAACCAAGAACAAATTAATATTTATCCCAAAGAATAATTAGAATGTTGAAAGTCAAAATAGGCATTGCTTAATGCCATCGCTCATGAAATAGGAAATAAACATGCTTTTGAAATTCTTCAATAGCTAATCAGTTGGCAGAAGTAAGTTATATATAGTATTAGTGAATCGTCTCTTTTGGTACTAACCTCCACACACGAGTATATATCTTAACTGACAGCTGAACAACTGAGCTAAATCTCTGGCAACAGGAATTAATCTGGGACTGTAGCTTAACCAAACTAACTTTTAAATTTCTTTTTCTATCTAAGATTTAAGATGAAATCAAGAAAAGACATTATTGTTTAGTATTAGTTCCTAATTACGTTTATTAGGAAGTGTGGTCTATCACATGTAATTGAAGGACACTTCTTCTCCTATACTGTACAGTACTACAGTAGATGTGGTAGTTTCTAACTGTCACTTTAACATTTATCAACAGGTAATTATGTATTATGCATAATTTACTCCTTTTTTCCTCTTTGGTGCTGAGGCTTGAACTTAGGGGTCTTGTGCATGCAAAGCATGCTGTAATGATGATGGTTCCACTTGCATGGATTGAGAAACACCTAGAAAATTAGTAAAACACACTGGTGGGCGTGTTTGTGAGGGTGTTTCCAGATATTTGGCTTGTGAGATGGCAAACTGAGGTGGTACACCTACTCTAAATGGGGGCAGCATCCCAAATGAAACAAAAGCAGGAGGAAGCCCACCAAAAGAGGTACAAGCCTGTGTTCCTCTACCTCCTTTCTTTCTCTCTTCCTTTCCTGGCTGCCATGGGGTAAGCAGTTTTCCTCTGCTACACCCTTCCACCATAAAAGCAACAAAAAGCAATGAGCATAAAAGCAACGAAGCTGACTGACTGCATATTAAAAATCTCTAGAACCATGAGCCAAAATAAACCTTATTTCCTCTAAGCTGTTTTTCTCAGGTATTTGTCATAGCAATGGAAAGCTGACTTACATACACTCTAGCCCTGAGCTATACCTCCAGCCCTAGACTTACTTTTGATACAAGATACCATGCAATAGATAAAAAACACCTTGCCTCTCACCATAAGAAGTTCAGTGAGAGATTGTAGAGCCTGCTTCCGGACAGATACAGCAGGGTCCCGACAATGGTCCTGCAGAATTGTTAGGTCTTCCTCCATACCCAAGATGTCACAGTGTTTCAAGATACTCACTAACACCTAAAGGCACAAACATAACAGGAAGTGGTGACAAGAAAGCATAAACACAAAGTTCCAAAGCCTGCTAAGGAATACTTCAAGTCTGTGGTTCTTAACATACTGGACATCATAGATCCATGCTCCTCCCTACAACACACCACATTTTAGAATCAGATGAAAGCTAAGGCCTTTCTCCAGAGAAAGTTTGACATTTCATGTAAACAAGTATTTACAACCAATTCTACACAGCTACTGAAATTCAACCTTAGTCCCCAGATTAAGAATCTAAATAAAACAAATTACATTTATAAGTTTGTGATTCTTAAAAAGCCAGCATCCTAATAGGAAAGCTTAAAAAAAATTATTTCAGTTCACTTGTATAATGTATGTATAACAGGACTGTAGTCAACTATGAAAAGCAAATTAAGTCCAAGTGAGGTTCAAATGAATATGGAGTTAGGATTTAGAAAAAAGTTTTCAGTGCTTAAAAAGAAAGAATTTAAGAGTGTGTACAAGAGTTCCCACCTGGAGTGCAGACTTCCTGACGTTGGTCTTCTCGTCCCTGATTCTCTTTCTTAGCATTGCCAGGACGCATCTATCTGTTGAAAGAATGCCAAAGAATCACCACAGTCTGAGGAAGCCCAGAAGGTAGCTAACACTTCACCACATAATACAAGAAAACACTAAGCTTAAACACTCACTCATTAGCTTGTTTTAAATCCTAAGAAATCAGAGCATGAAAAAGTGTTGAAAAGGAAGAAAATCTGAATGATTAGGTATTCACTATAAAAAGCATTAGTTTTGGAATATTAAAAATTTCATTTTAAATGAATTATTTAGCTCTTCTTTTTTGTTCGGCTACAAATAGGAATATCTAACCTATAGGGTTGTTGTGAAGATTTGATACGATATGTAAGAGCAGCTTTAAAATGTCCATTGGAAGATCTTTTTATACACATATTAACAAAGACTCCAAACCTTTTTTTATGTGGGTTATAATATTTAATGACTTAGAAATTTTAAAGTGAGAATTAAAAAGAAATTTAGTAATTCATTTTAAAATAGCAAGACTTGTTACTATTTCTTAAAATGAAAAATAACTACATTTTCCAAAACAAAACGAGACACCAAAAGAGTGCTAATGCTTTGCATTTTAATAAACTCTTTAGTTCCTGGCTTAGTAAAAGCCAGCTGGATCCACATATCTTTTTCTGTTGCAATTTCACATGCCATGCAACATCAGTAAAACTTTAATTCATACTTGGAGAAGGTCAGGATGGGAAAGGAATGATGTCCTGATGTTACTATGAACACAGTGGTCACACTGAGGGCCCCTGAAGGAGGCATCGTAGTTTGGGGTCTCCCAACCACACTTTGAAAACTGCTGATATATAAGAAATCACCTTAAAAAAACCAAGAGAATGGAAAATAACAGAGAAAAACAATGAAAACAAAAGTAGGCTCTTTGAAAAGATGTAGATTAACAAACCTATCTAGGTAGGCTGGCCAAAACAATAAGATGCACCTGGGCAGCCCCACCAGCCTCCAGCTTAGCCGTGCGTGCAGGCAGAGCAGGCGCAGGCTGAGTGCGCCCTGCTCAGTCCAGCTCACTCTGCCCACTTGCCACCAGGAGACCAAACCGGTGAGGACCCCCTGGGCACCCACACCAGCCTCCAGCTTAGCCGCCCTTGCCTCCCCCCACCGCCATCTTGGATGTACAGCTACTTGAATCCACACTACACAGAGGCCCAGGGGGGCATAAAGGCCATTGTCCTGAGCTGCAGAAGTGAACAGAGAGAGGGCCTCTCTCAGGCTCCCTGATGAAAACTGAGGGCCACTGGAAAAGTGAAGAGAATCTCTGCAATAAAGGCACACCAGACCACTGTATTTGGTAAATTGGAGGGATTGTCACATCCCATCGGAACCTGGACTAGCTTCAGGGGAAAGGCAGCTGGAACTTGCAGTAAAATCTGGCAGAGTTAACTCTGAAGGAGGTCAGGGAGCTCAACCTGGGACTTGCAGCCAGAAATCTGCCTGAATCTCACTGGTCTGTGACTTGCTTGCTGAGTCTCATTGACTTATAACTGCACACTGCTGCCCACGTTGTCTATTGTGATACCAGAGATATACCCTGAAGGAGGCCCTTCCTTTGTATCTTCTGTTATTTTCAAAATTACCACTATTATTTTGCTTATTTTTAATTTTTTTTCTTGTTACTTTTTAAATTTTTCTTTTTCTTTCTTCTCTCTTTTCTTTCTCTCTCTCTCTCTGCCTCGCTCCCTTGCTGTCCCACATTGTTCTTCATCACCCTTTGTGTTCCTGTTCTGCCCCTAATTCATATTTCTTCCTTATCTTTCTTTTCTTCTATTTCCTTCTCTTGCCTATGCTCTCTGGCCTCACTGATAACCTTCCCTTATCCTTCTACTTACCTATTCCTCCCTCCCCAACGCCTTCCTGAAGGGTAAAGTTGCTATATTGAAGAGTTTATTCACTATAAACACATCTTGGGTTGGTCCTTGATTTTGATTTAATTCACACAGGTAAAGATGATACGTTGATAACTAGCACAAATTGTCATTTTCTAAGAGGTACTTGATGCTATTGTGTTGCTGACTGTATCACTTGGGCTAAGATGTTATGATTGATCTAATCAGTTGTCCTTCCTGGTATAACGAAAATGAGACAGCCTCAGAGCCATTCTAGACTCAAAACCTAAAGACCAGCTATATCTGGAAGGCACTTCTGAGAAGCAACCATTCCCTAAGTGTTCTAAATGTATAAACAAAGATACATACAATAAACATCTTCAAAGTATTAATCCAGGAACTAAACCAAGGACAGTACCAAAAACAAAAATGAGAAGACAATTAACTAAGGCACAAACTCAGACTTCCATTCCACAAAAGGCAAATTCTGGGAGAAATGAGGTGAAAAATTCTGATAATCAACCACCTGCACACCCTGAACTGATAGCACATGAAGTAACAAAACAGATGAATAAGGCTCTAGAAAAATTCAAAACAGAAATAATTTCCCAGATAACTACAGAGATGGTGAGCAGAGTGAAAGACATGATTACAGGCTCTAGAACAGAAACAGATAAAAAATAGATGACCTCAGAACTGTGCTGGAAGCCATGAATGCCCAGCACAAGAAAGAAGTGGAAACCATGATCACCCCACATAACAAAGAAATAGAATCCATGAAACAGATTCAAACAGATATTCAGGAGATTAAAAACTCCATTGAAAGCATGCAGAGCAGATTAAGGGAATCTGAAGATAGAATATCAGATATACAAGACAGGATTGTGGTTAAGGATCATGAAAACAGAGATCTCTTCAAAATAGTAAGGGACCACGAGAAATCAATCCAGCAGCTGCTAGATGATGCAAAGAAGAATAACATAAGACTGACTGGAGTCAATGAAGAAACAGGAGAAAGTACAATTGACATTAAAAAAACTGTTCACAGAAGTAATAGTAGAAAACTTCCCAGACAGACGTAGAGAATTGGACTTACAGATAAGTGAGGCATACAGAACTCCAACTACCCATGATCAAAAAAAAAATTTACATCTAGACATATAATAGTCAAGATCCCAGAAACCCAATAGAAGAATAAAATCCTACAGGCAGTTAGAAAAAGAAACAAATCACCTACAAAGGAAAGCCCATCAGAATCACAGCAGACTTCTCAACACAAACCCTCAAATCAAGGAGAGCCCAGAGTGAAGTTTTTCAAGCCCTAAAAGAAAATAACTTCCAACCTAGACTGTTGTATCCTGCAAAATTATCTTTCAAAATCTATGGGGAAATTAGTTACTTCCACAACAAAGAACAGCTCAGAAATTTCATGAACACCAAACTCGCACTCCACACAATTCTAAGAAATATCCTAGAAAAAGACAATGAAGGTCACAACTCCATGAGGCCCAACAGAGGGAAGCCACCAGACAAGGTAAGAAACTAAAGGGAAAGGGAGAAAATATAAGAAATAAAAGAGGCAACAACAGCAAAACATCATACCAAGGATGATTCAATATCTATCAATTATAACTCTCAATGTTAATGGCCTCAATTCACCAATCAAAACAAATAGACTGACAGAACAAATTAAGAAGCAAAATCCTACAATATGCTATATACGAGAAACACACCTAACTCAAAAAGAAATTCATAGACTGAAAGTAAAAGGATCAAAAACAGTTCTCCATGTGACAGGAACCCAGAAAAAAGCAGGGGTAGTAATCTTATTTGCAGACAAAGTGGATTTCAAACCAAAACTAATTACAAGAGACAAGGACGGTTACTACATCGTTGTGAAGGGAACAATCCAAGAGGAAGAGATAACAATCCTAAATATATATGCACCAAATACAAATGCCCCCAACTATACAAAACAAATATTACTGGACATGAAAAATCAAATAACCACTAATACAACTGTAGTAGGGGACCTCAATACCCCACTATCACAAATAGACAGATCATCTAGACAAAAAGTCAACAACCAAATTCTAGAACTGAACCAACCTATTGAACACATGGACTTAATAGATGTTTACAGTGTTCCACCCCACAAAATCAGAATACACATTCTTTTAGGCTGCACACGGGTCATTCTCCAAAACAGACCACATGCTAGCTCATAGGACATGTCTAAGTAAATGTAAAAGAACTGAAGTTACCCCCTGCATATTATCAGACTATAGTGCAATAAAATTAGAGCTCAATAACATAAGAAACTGCAAAACTCCCACAAACACCTTGAAATTGAATAACACCCTCCTGAACAACCAATGGGTCACAGAGGAAATTGAAGAAGAAATTAGACAGTTTCTACAGGTAAATGACAATGCCAGTAAAATATACAGGAATCTATGGGAAACAATGAAAGCAGTTCTGCTTGGGAAATTCACAGCAGTGAATGCCCATATTAGGAAAGCAGAGAGAACCCAAATAAATAACAGGATAGTAGACCTTTGTCTGAGGAAGAGCAGG